TGTTACCTGTACGATGCGATTGAGAAATTTTTTACGACGACAGAATTGGTTGGGCGTTGGCGGAGCATGAGAGGGGGCAATGGCAGGTGCAATTGGAGCAGAATTGCATTAGCTAATCAAAAGCCGGCGATGAGTGTCGACTTGTCAACGGTGTTGGTGCTGCTGCGTGGAGGTGTGCGGCGAGAGGTCATGAGGGGAGGGACTAACGCATGAATGAACGCGTGCATGCCGCTTTGCTAATTACTCCCTAGAATCCTTTCAATGCGATTACGACGGCTCCTTTTTCGCTTCCAGCCACACACACATACCTGTACTCTCCGATTCTCTGTCGCGTCGTGGGAGTGCGGTCAACTTTGTCTAATGAACCGCACATTAGAGGCAGTGACAGCGGCAGTCGATAGGGAAAGGCGAGGCTAGGAAATGCAAGGCCTTTGCCAGTCCTGCCTGCCTGCCTGCCTGCCTGCCACCCTGACTTATTGGCATTTCTTTCAAACGCATTTAAAGCGCGCTGCCTGACTGCCTTCTGTCTGCTCTGCCCTGGCCCGACCTATCCTGACCTATGGGGCTGCCGCCCTGCTGCGTCATGCTGCCTGCCTGGTTGCAGTTCAATTGAATTTCAGCGTAAAACTTCTGCAGACTGCTATCACACTCAGACAAGCAGCAGCAGCAGCAGCAGCAGCACCAGCCCCACCGTGTACTCGCATTTCATTTATTTTATTTGGTGAAAAAGTTTTCACTCTCTCGCAGACCCCTTCCCCTCAGCAATCGGAAGCCTGTGGCGGGTGTACGGCCCCTGGCCCCTGGCCCCTGGCTTATTGTGCCGCTTCATCGACTACGTTTGGTAATTTGCTTTATGTTCGTTTGCTTTGCCGCTGCTACTTAAAATAAATTAGAAATTATTGGAGCATTTTGATGCTGCCCGACGATTGGTTTTCAGTTTTTCTTTTTGTGGTTTGGTAATAAATTCTTAATCAGCGTAGCTACAATTTTCGTTGAACTGAACCTTTTGCCATAGAAAGGGAGTTACTTGCTGGAAACTTTTGGCAGAAGAAATAGTACAGCAGAAAAAGGTAAAAAAAAGGATGATCCTTGCAAATAACTTTAGCAAAATATTTGTAGACTTTGAACAGACTTTTGCCACTAAGAGAATTAGTAAACAAAAGCAAGTACAACTCATCTGAAACAATCCGGATTAAACTTGTTATGAAACACAAAGCAAACACTCCAAGACTACACTTATTTTCCCATTTACAGCCAGCGCGGCTTAAACTTTTTTTGGGGTTTCATCAGCATGTATTTCCTTATTTTTCGAGCATTATTTTGCAGTAATAATTACTTTGAAAGTCGAGTCTATAATTGAATTCTGAGGTTGAAGCAAACTGAGTTGCCCTGCCAATGGCAAAGTTTTGCACAGCACAATTAACCAGAAGAGAAGCCCCCAAAGTCCGGGAGCTCTCTCTCTCGTTTCGGTGCAGCCGAATTGGAGCAGAAATTACGCTCCTGTTGGGCCCTTGGCGCCGGTTATTATGTGGGTGGTATCAGTGCGTGTGCCTGTGCGTGTGCGTGTGTGGCCGTGTCTGTGGGTGATCGTAATCAATAGCTTTTGTTATGTTTGTGTTGTTGGTTAGTGGCAGCACTGACAGCCACACTCTCCATCGGGAACTGGCGAAAGCAGACTGCATTGACCAATGGACCAATTTGTATGAACGTAATGCAGAGGATAGCCACTGGTGTCTCGGTCCTCGGCAGCCTAATGCACTTCGATGTCTGCGATGCGACACAAAAATGAATGCAGATTGTCCGGGTTGCAGTTGCGTTTAAGGTTTAAATACTTCCTGGCTAAATGACAGCTCTAGCACGCTCTCAGTTAAAGTTCGAAGGTTGAGGAACAGCGTTCACTAGCTCTCCCTGCTCCTCCGCGTGTTTGGCCACTGAAGCGTTCTCCCATTGCGTCCGCAATAACAGTGAAAAAATAGGAGTAGTTGGCTTAATTTCTTTGCTCGAGTAGTTTTTCTCTCCCACTCTCCCACTCTCTGTCTCTCCCTCCAGCTGAAGGAGCAACAGAAACTGGAACTGCAAGTGCAACTTCTGCCGCAACTGGCATACAATCCCCACTCTGGAGGAGAGCATACCCGCAATGAGTTTGATAATAGTTTCAAGTTATTAACATTAATTTATTTTCCCCCACCTACCTACCCCGCCCTCGAGCTTCTTCATTGCTCTTTCAGTTTCGCCACAGCATGAGAATGGGATTTAAGTTGGTTTTATCATTGAAAATGTTGGCAAAAGTTCTTGCATAAATTATTTTCACGATAATGCTTGCATTAATGAGGCTTTCGAGCTAATTAGCCCCACCGCAAACATTTAAATTGGTTCCTTCTTTTGTGAACTTTTCGCCATATGATAATTCTATTGCGAATCTAATCAACTGCGTTTTGCTCGCCACTGTTTTGCCATGGGCAGCTTTGCAGGGTTCTAGTGGAGGCAAGGACCCAAACGTGTTATTTTGTCATACGAGTGGACGTCAAGCTGTGTGGACTGCCATGTGGCAGGGAAAGCTTTCACTGGGGTTCCACTACAGCAAAGCTTTTTCTTGTACCAACTGTACTCTCTACATGTACAGCTTTTAGCTGTACTTTGGGGATGTCACAAAAGCTTCCCTAACTGCGGACTTGCAAGCTTTTAAGCAGATCTATTTACCGTTGGTGTAAAATACGTGAACATTTGTTGTTAAATGTAAAAACACAATGTAACAGGACACTTATTTAAGAACTGTTTTTGCTAGCGAATAAAACTGCCCGAAGAACAAACTGAACAGATTTTGCTGTGTCGACAGTTTGTCGCTGTACATTACCAAAAATTGCAATTAAATAGAATAATAACAAATAACCAGTTGTCCTGGCATGCTGCAAGTATGATTCCGAATAAAACTTAACCAGTGAAATGCTCGCTGAGCAGGAAACACATTTTCCCTGGAACTGTAATGCAATTCCGCTTTGCCGGTTAGGTTTTTATCACACACATTTAAATTTGACCCAATTCGGGATAAGTTTCAACTAATGCTCTTATCCTACAACAAGAAACAGACAGCCCCCAAAGCTGTATTTAATGTCTCAGTTGACATACGAACCTGGGCCATCAGGTCAGTGGATTATGTTGCCCAAAGAGCGCCCAGCAGGGCAATTGAATTAATCGCATTAGATATGGTCGAATCATACGAGGGAAAAGCTCCCACATTACACAAAGTTACTCAATTAGCAAACGCTTTGCAGGAATTATCAGCAGCAATTAAAGTTGTCACATCAAGTTGTTTATTGTTTATTGAAATATTGGATATTGTTGTGTATGTTTTAGGTGTATAACTACATTTATTAACTTGTATACAGTCACTATAACATTAGGTTAAAACACTTAAAAACGTTCAATAGATGCGCTCTCTGGTAACTGACTGACTGACTGGCTCTAATAGCTCTCAATTGAAATGTTTCTGTTTCTGTTTCCGTTTCCGTTTCTGTTCTGTTCTTAGGTTGTGGGCCAGTTGAACTTGGCTTGGCTAAAACATACATACATATGTGTAGATGCTGAATATGTATATGTAAAACTAATACACTTATTATCATAGAATGCTTACATCAAAGATAGAATGAAGCTCAAGTCTTTATAGTTCTTTGGAGCAGATTACAAATATACACAGATATTTAGATATACTACAATCAATACACACATACACATACATACATGGGTTTGCCGGAAATGTACACAGTTTGCAGTATGAATATTTTTATAAACATTGAACAAACATCGAATTTAAACACTTTTGTCGATTAACAATAGCATGCCGCTGCGAATCACAAAAATGCATCATTCCACCAACGATCAAAAGTTCACTTTTGAAGCAGAACCCTTGTCCATTCAATAAATGTCGATTGTCGATTATCTTATGGCATCCCAACCCAACTTTCTGACTAGCATGCGGATGGGTTTAGTGTTGGATTTTGTGTCTTATGTGTCTACAAATAATTATTCCCACCTTTGCCACACACTGTGCTCAATCAGGTAGCTGCAAATTGCTCAACTGTAGGCCTGTTGTCATTTCCGATTGCGAGTCGTTGATTCAATATAGTTAATATTTCACCCATTTGTTTAAGTATATGTTCAATAAACTTGTGATTTCAGTTGCTAAGCAAGCTCTACACACACACACACACACACACACACGCAAGGACACACATTTAATTAACATTAATCGGAGGTCTAATCGGAGTTGTACCTTCACTCAGCCGCAACGTTTCGCAATCCATAGCCTAAACATTCAGATATTTGTGTCTCTAAATTTAACATTCATATGATTATGTTTATAGCTAACATCTATAACTGTTTGATTAGGAAAATATAGTGTTATATATATGTATGTATATCTGTTCTTTTTGCACTGCACTTTCCCTGTCAGCAGACAGTCAACTGCCTCCCTGCCTGTCGCGTTTCTTTACAAAAATACACTAGCCTACAAAATGTACATATTTCGATCACTCTCTCTCACTGTCTCTCTTGCTCTCTTGCTCTCTGATATGCTGTACAATAGTTATTTATCTGGTTTATCGTCCTGCCTGGCTAAAACCTTAATTTAGGGGAATGCAACTCGGGGGATATAAAGGGTATGGATATGTAAATTATAATTATAACGAATTTCCTTTCAAGTTTCTTACAGCTAATCGCTTAAATTAACTTTTACGCTAGCCATTATTAGATCACTTTTAAAGACAAGTGCCCGAAGCGGATAATAGAACCCAACTAAGGCTCGAAATCAATGAACAACTCAGCTCGCTGCTGTGCATCTTGGAGATACAATATTAAATGTACAAGCGTCTTCGTATTTTAGTATTTAATTAGGCCATAAATCACGCACAGCGGTTGCATGTAAATGAGACCACACATGCCACCCACAAGCACCCTGCAACATTCATCCAGTCATCCATAAACAATGCCGTCTCCTCCTTCGCTTACTTGCCACTCGAATCGCGCAGGGAGCGTGTGGATGGCAGGCCACGCAGTCCCTTCTCCAATTTGTCAGCATCGCCGGCAGAGAAGCGAAAATTCACGGCCTGTCCATGGCCCTGGGCCTGGCTCACGCCCAGCAGAACGGGCCTTGAGGCACGTCGCGGTCCCAGCAGCTCCACACGCTCCTCCTCGTCCCTGCCATAGCCGGCTGCTGTCGCTGCCAGCGGCATTGCAATCGGTATCGGAATCGGATTTGGGGTCTTGGCCGGGGGCGAGTACTCTGCGGTGGCCTCCGACAACCGTCGATACTCTCCGCTGCGCGAATGCTGCAGCTTCCAGGAGGCGCGTCTTGTGGTCGCCACACTGGCCACGCTCTGATTGCTGCTGCTGCAGTGCACCGAGGCGCTGGTGGTGAGATTGCCGGTGCTCTGCGACGCGACGCAACTGTTGGAGCTGGAACTGCTGCTGGAGATGCTCGAATTGCTGCCACTGGCGCTGCGTCGTATTCGCTTGGATCGGGGCTCCGGGGGCTGAGGTGGCGCCTCAAGCGGCACCACAGGCGGCGCTGGTGCAGCCGTGTGCTCCTCCGGTGGCAGCAGGCTGTCCGTGCTCTTGCAGCAGCTGTGATGGCTGGCCGAATGCTCCAGCTTCATGGTCCAGCGAAAATCGTTCGAATTCTCATCATCCAGCGGCGGATAGATGCGTCCAGACCCGCCACTCGAGCCTCCAGTCGGGCCAAGCAAACGCTCCTTGGAGCTGCCCAGCGTGGGATCTGCCGGGGAGATGCATTCCTCGATGGTGTTCAGTGGCGATATCTGAAGTGTCTGCTTCTGCTGCAGCAGTTCCATTTCGCTCTTGATGGCCGGCTCGATGCCCAACAGGCCCAGCACCAGCCGCGGATTGGCCAACACGAAGCGCTCGAAGGTGGGAAAGTCAATGCGATAGAAGTCCGTCTGGGAGCTGCGATTGGCCGTTGTCCGTGGCGGTTCGCCAGCGCTGCTCGCTGTTGTCTCTGGCTTGGCCTGCTCCGCCTTTGAGCTGCCCGGCAGCTGCACATCCCGGCCCCAGACCTCGGGCGGATGCGAGGTGCTCCTGTGCATGGGCGCCGCCTCTGCTGCCCCATTGGGCAGGTGTCCGCCCATCAAGTCCAAGCCAGCGGCATCCGCCAGGCCCAGTCCGGAGCGTGCGGCCAGCCCGCCGCTAATGTTCGGAATGGAGCGGGCCGGCTGGAATTTCAGGGAACTGTGCGATGTCATGGCCGTCGAGGTGAAGGCCATCTCCTGCAACGCACTAATCGCATTGCGCACCTCCACGCTCAGCTGGGCAACGTCCTGGTGCAGGGTGGACACCTGCGAGTCCAGCCGCTCCAGCGATGGCCGCTTGGCCACGCCCGACTCCTCGCCTTCGGTGTCGGGCTCCTCGAAGGAGCCACGGTCCAGGCTGCAGGCCGCATTGAGATTCCTGTTCCGCTTGTTCGTCTCCCGCAGCGTGATCAAGGAGCGTCCACGCTGGTTCAGCCGCTGATTCCGTGGACTGCCGGCCATGCCCAGCAGTGGCGATCGTGTGGCATGCAGCGGGGAAGCGTTGCTCACGCTGTGCAGCGGCGAGGGTGTTGCCCCACTGGCAGGAGCTGCACCATTCTCCTTGTCCGCGGCGACCTCCTCGCCCTCTTCGCGATTCTCGTCATCCTCGCTGATGCTGGGCAGCGGAAAGGAGGGTCCGATATCCGAGTCCTGATTCTCGTAGCCCTCACGCAGGTTGTAGGTCAGGTCGTGCTGAATGTCATTCGCGAACTGTTGCTGGTATTCCGGATACAGACGCAGCACCTCCACCAGTCCGCCCATGTGGATGCACTTCAGATCGCAGTAGGTGAGCGCCTGCAGGGCGGGTGAAACCCAAAAAGAAACACACACAAAAAATGAGTCAAAAGCCGTTTGGCGCTAAGCGATTAAACACTTGGGCCTGCAGGGTTCTGGATTCTGTGTCTGGAGTGGGTTCTGTGTGTCTGGTTGTGTGCCGGAGGCGTGGAAGGCATATTTGTGCCCGTAAACAAGATACAAAAGCTGAAACAGCGTGGCATATAGGATAGCAGAAAGGGAGTATTGGATTCCTCACTCAAGACAGAGAACCAATGGAAAGTGAAGCCCACGTTTGGAGCCCAAAGAAGTGTTCCCTTTGCAAGGCAAATCTATCTATCTAGCGCAGCTTTTCGTGGGTACTCAACCGTCGACTCCTGCCGTCGCACATTTGAATGTTGACGCCGCTGCGTCTTGTATTCATTACAAAGTGAAGAGTACACACCCTCTCGCACATACAGGGGTGCGAAAGGTACCGCTTAAGTATCACTCATACGACCCATGCCCCCGAGTGACGCCTACGAGAGGGGGCAGCAGGAGCTGCTGGCAGCTGGCAGCTGGCTTCTGCGAAAACACACTCAGAGTATGTCTGCACTTTATTTTCGCGTGGCAGACATGCAAATAAACACGAGATGAAAGCACAGGTAGGGATAGGGCCGCACATTGGGATACACTTGCGGGTCGAGCTACAAGAGGAAGCTCTGCTCAAGTCTTTCTTATGAACATTTGCTACAACTTGCCACAGTTATGCCCGCTGAATGAGGGCATAGAGGAGTCTCTCTCTCTCTCTGCTCAAACTATGTATAAATGAAACATTTCTCAACTAATTAAGCTACAATCAAATTGGAAATTTCTGCGCTTTAAACATTGCTCAGAGAGAAACACCCACTCAGGCCAGACAACACCCACCGATTGCCAGACAAAAGTGGATGGCAATTAATTAGGCGTGAAGCTTTAGTAACCTGAACCGACCCAAGATTATTGCCATAATTTAGAATGTCTGGGGGTGGACAAGCATTTGAGCCCCCTTGGACTTGTGCTTGCAGGCAAAGGAAAGAATTCTCCGTAAACTGTGTGCTGTGCAACGATGTTGAAACGAAACCTCTGAAGCATTGCGTTCTGTGATAAAGTTAACGACAAGCGAGATGAAATTGCAGTCCCCGGTTTCCATGTAGATAACAAAAATATAATTTCAGGGCAGGCCAGAAACAGACAGCGTGGGAGCGTGGGCCATGGCCAGACAAATAATTCAATTGAATTGATTAACTCAACTAAAGGAAAGTCAATTGACCGAGCTCCATGCAGCTCCCCTCACAGGCATTTTGCCTACGTTTTTCTTCCTATTTTCAGAATGTAACTAACAAAAGGCATAAAAATAAATTCTATTTAATTACTGCATCCACTGCCCCTCGTCACACACGCCCACAGATGCCACTGCCACACACACAAAGGGGTAGATGAATATGAAGGAGACTTTTACTTACCTTTATGTCGCTGCTGCTGCGTACGACAACATCCTGGCCAGCACTGTTGGTGGTGGCGGTCATCTGGCCATTGCTGGTGGCCACCAGGTGCACGTTGATGTCGGAGCCCACCAGGTCGCCCTTGCCTATGTGAGAGAGAGAGAGAGTGTGATGAAAGGTCAATCGCGTTAAGCGGTGCCGCAGCCAGCACAGGCACAGCAGAATCAATGAGCATAAAAATAGAGCCTGAGAGGGGCATTTGTCTAGGGGGCGCAAAGTCGATTTCAATGTCAAGCTGGCAGTAGATGCTGACAAGGACGATGCCTGTCTTGAATGTATAAACAAGCACCTCCCCCCAGAATGTGTCGAGTGGAATGCAGTCACGGGGACACGTGGCAGAACAGTCAGAAGTGCCAGAAGCGAATGAACTGACAAAAGTTCAATAAACGCTCAAAGTCGAAACACAAACAGAATGAAAATTTGTCATAAAACGAAAATCAAACAAGGGAGAATTGCAGCAACAAATGCTTAAACAAGGAAGGAATTAAATAAGAGTGACTCGAAACGAGAGTAAATATTTGGCAGATAATTCTCATAAAAAAAAGAAAATTAATATAGACTGCAGAAATGCTCCTTAGTTGTGTTGTTCCTATGACAGTTTTGGGGAAGCTAACTTTTGCGAAGCTAAAACTCACCCAATATAGCCACAACCATATCGTCCTTGATCACCTCCATGGAGCCATTGCACAGATAGTAGATGTAGTTGAGGGCATCGCCTTTGTGGATTAGATATTCGCCGGGTGCGCAGAAGTTTGTCTTTATGTGCAGCGACAACAGCTTGAGGCAGCCCTGCAATGATGAGACACACACAAACGTAGAGCACAAATATGTGTAAATGGATTCGAAGCTGGTCAGCTAGAGGAATTGTTGGTTCTTGTTTTGGGGTCGACTGTTGGACTGGCTGGATGGCGGTGGCAAGCATTAAGCTCAGCGGTTGCCGCGCTTTATTTGCGCAATGAAACAAAACGACAACAGCTGTGTCCTTGCCCTGAAATATCCTGCGGTCGGCAGTCCTCCGTCTACGTCCCCACCCGTCTACGCTAAGTGGCTTAAAGCGCGCTTATAACTGTTGAGTGGTTTTTATTTGCACAGCCTTTGCCTTACTGAATGGGCTTTATAAATATTTCGCACTCCCCCCTTCGGTCTGCTTTTGTGTTTAGATTCGTTTTGTTGGCTCTTCATTTTATTCAAGTTTGCACTCCCACTAGTTGAATAAATGCTGTTCTAAAAACACAATTCTTTTCCAGTTAAACTCTTTAAGAAATTCCCCATTTAAGCTAGACATCAAATTTGTGTGCATCCTTCGGCAGTTCTGTGCTGAACACTGAACCGTAAATGAGAAATCAATTACTCAGTGAAGGGCAGGCCAGAGGTAAGGCACACAAAGCGGAGCTTAACGGCAAGGGCGCACCTTTTGCGAAAATCGTTTCCATCAGCAGCAGCAGCAGCAGCAGCAGAAGCAAGAAAAACACTCTTAAAGGACCCATCCCCATACCATTCGTAGGTAAGCTTTCAGAGGTTGACAAGGGTATTGACATTGGGCATTGGAAACTACTCGAATTCGGCGAACTTTCTGTTGCTGCACTCGGATTTTTGCGTACATACAAATGTTGCCTAAAACCTTTTTCATGCTCCGCTTCAGACGCTGGAACAAGCCGACCGACTGACTGTGCCAAAAGGCCACATAAATTTGATGTGCCAGAAAGTTTTACCTGTGACCAGAAGTCGCTTTATGCGTACATGCGAGTATGTACATATACGTATGTGTGTCTCTCGTTTGTGTGTGTGCATGAGTGTCTGGGCGACAGGGAACGAAGCGAAGGCAAGCCTCAACATTGCTGTTAAGCTCGCAGTTAACTTTTGACTGCTCCAGAAATCCCCCTGCAAAGGGCCGTGCGGCTCCGCTTTTCTGATTATTTTGCCATCGTTGCCATTTCGTTCCATTTGTCTGGCCCGAATCTCTTTCAAAGCATCCTACACGTCGACCCCTGAAAGAAAGTATTTCCATCTCATCCCCCCCCCCCCTCTTACCTGAGAGGCAGCCTCGAATATCGGTAGCTGTAATATTTCACGATGTAGATGCATGGATACGTCGCCACGCAGCTCTTCGGGAAATTCACGTAGAGTCTGCAAAGAGGGGGCAAAAGGAAAGGAACAAAATAAATATGTATGTATAAAAATAATAAGAAGCAGGTATAAGCCCGCTATGTATGTTTGTATGCCTGTTTATATGTGAGAGCGTCAAGCAGTACAAGTGAAAATTGAATTGCATGAATATTGCGAGGGAAATGTTTGGCATCATTTTACTCGGTCACCAGGGAAATGTTGGGCTTTCGCTTACCCATATTGTTATTGATCTGTTATACATATATATATATATTTCGAACAACAAGAAGGGAAAAAAATGAAAGCAAACGAATAACGAACGATGGCATACGCATAGGTACACATTTAAAACGCTACTCCGCGATTCTTGCATTTTTTTTTATGTCACACTTAAAGCGCGTTCAGATGCAGCTGTCTCTTGATCTTCGCATAATTTGTATTCTGTTTCTCTCTCTCAGCACTACTCTCATTGAGCTCTGTGCTTTGTCACCAACAACAACATTAGTGCGCGCTCTCAGTGCAGTCGCTCTCTCGCTCTCAGCCCAAGTCCGCAGCAACGTACGCAACTCTGTCGTGAAGCATTAACCAACGGGACTCTCTCTCTCTCTCTCTCTCTTCTATTCCTATGTACATTGTTGCTGTTTCGTTTCTTTAGCTTCAGGTAGATTGATCTTTGTGCGAGGAATATTCATGCTTGCTGTGGCAATCTGAGATTCTTACATCTTCCCACCTTCGCCGCTTGAGCTTCGTTTGAGCATGCTTACGATTGCATTGCATTCTCCTACTAATTAGAAATATTTCTCAACTGACATTTCCAAGGAAATATTGATTGACATTTACACAGAATTCCTGCTGTGCAATCGGTTGGGACCTGAGCATGAGCACTGCTAAATTTAATCTTCTACGGAACATTAAATTAAAATGCAATCGATAAATAGTTTCACAACTCGTGTACGCACATGCGAATTATAATTAATCCCTAATACGCATACATCTGGTTTAAATTACGTTGCATGACATTTTCAAAGAAATTCGATTGGGGCATGACCACAGGCCAAACAACAACGGAATCGAATTCCATTTAAGTTGACAAATAGTTTTAGAATTGGTCTATGTTTGCACTTCAATTAACACAAAATTCAAGTGTAAATCAAAGCCACGTTCAAATATTAATTAAAAATGTATTGTCTGCATGCAAATACTTCGGCAAAATTAATTGTTGGCAACTTTCCCACCCAAAATTGTATGGGAAGTGCAACGAAATATTCGAAAGAGGTGGCAGAAATTCGGGGTAGCCACGCGTAACTAAGCTGGGAAAATGTTGGAGAATTTGCTGTGCTTGTGTTTCATTCTTGTAGCATCCTTTCAGCGGTCATTATAATTCTGTATTTAAGAGAGAATTTCATTCCATCGCTTCATTACATCGTATTGCATATACGTAGCTGCCACTCAAGAATATTTATCAAACTTAACCACACATCTGGAAAGGGCATATTCATCTTTGTGTTGCCTTTCGGCAGCCTTTAGTTGTTTCCTGTTTTTGGGTGTTTCTGCTTGCCCCCAAAAGGTCAATTCGCTTGGAATTGTTATTTATTCGCTGCCCTCTGATTCAGTGTGCACAGAAGTGTAAAATATTCTACATTAATTGCGCACACACCCACACCCTGGCGCCAAAGGACGAAGCCGAATGCCAAAGTCAAGGAAAATGCTGGAGTTTCGGGCGCCTGCCAAAGAGCAGCGCGGCGGGACGGTCCTGGGGTGTCCTGCTCTGACGCTTTTGCCAGTTAATTTTCATGCGCAATAAATTAACAATTTAATTTACTGCCAGCAGCCTGCCAGCCACTGAGCCACAGCCTCTGCCCCATTTTGTTGGCTATACTTTGTGAACTTCATCGGTGCATGTGTGTGTTGGTGTGTGTGTTTTTCAATGTAATTAAATTAAATATGAATTATATTTTTGTTACAAATTTAGGCTTTTATTTCTGGTTCAGTTTAACTTATTCCCATTCAAACGGCAGTTGATTTTTAATCAACCCAAAGCGTATATATCCATGGCAATGTTCAACCTTTTGAGGTGCGCTGACAGGCAGCGTCAAGTGCTCTGGGTGTGCAAACTTCAAAGGCTGTCCACGCTAATTAATTAACTGCCCCTAAGCCCCGAATGTGCACTGCACGTGCTCGCTGGCCGCCGCTGTTGTGGCGTTGGCATTATTTGAAGAGTCTTTAATTAAAGCCATTACCAACAAGGCAGGCAAAATGTTGTTTGCCATTGCGCCACTGAATTTTGCTAGCAATTAGCAAGGGCATAAAACTCTCAGTTGGAGCTGCAGTATGTCATTTAATGGTGTCGCAAAGTTGGGGCAACAAAGTTGTGCAGCTGCACAACTGCTGCAGCTGTCAGTCACTCAATGAAGTCAGCTAAATGTCAGACAACATTTGACCAAAGCTGGAGTCGGTTCAAGTTCAGAATAAGTTCAAAAAAGTTATGAAATGGCAGCAGCTACTATCAGTATTGATTGCCCATGAAGTCGTTTCCCTTATCCCTGCAGAAGAGCAAGCCCACAGCTTGCAGTCCAACGGATTTCCGAGTTTTAATTAAAATATAGATTCAGTGGCAGAGATTCCACTCAAAAGGCGACACTCAAACAATACAATTCGATATTTAATTTCGGTTTTGTAATGAGTGACAGCAGTGGGCAGCAATGGAATTCATGTTAAAGTACCTGCCAGCTGGCAAGCTGCCGGCTGGACATCAGTGACGTGGATGACCAATCAAAGGATGACCAAGCCATTTGCCATTTAACCCACTGGCAATCAATAAGTCACACACAGCCACAGCACACACACACGCATATGATTGTGAGTGCGAACCCTAGGGGAATTTGCTTAATTAAAGGCCCAGACGTATACATATATATATTGGAAATGCTTGGGGCACGCCACAAGTGAAAGCTGGGGGTCTGGGCAAAAGATGTGCCGCTGCGTCGACAACTTTGCCAATCATTTTTTTTTTTTTTTTTTGGGGAAAGCAAAAGTATAAATGATTTACGAGACGCATGACTAGAGAGAGATATACCCATGAGACCCAAGGCTTACCTCGTATATATCAATGCCGTGGCTTAGTGACCAGGATGTCTGGAAGTAATCCTCAATGCGTTGCTTCAGCTCCTTGGGCATCTGAAAGAAGGAATCACTACACGTTTAATTGGGTTTCGCTTGCGATCATGACGGTTAATGAGATGCAATATCATCCAGCTCTATCACTATTCATCTCTGCATTCTCCGCCACTCTCCTTGGCCACTTCTCACTTCATTTGCATGCATTACGCGTCTATGAGCCGCACAAATGCGCTTAATTGTGCAGCACATTGCGTATACGCTGCCGCGTGCGGTAAGCCACCCCCCACACAGAGCCTGCCTAATGGAGCAACGCGCAAGTTTGTCCTATCATCAACAGGTTGCAGTGGCAGCCACACACACACACACACACACACCAGATGGAGCAGCTTCAGTGCAGAATGCTGGAATCAGCAATTCATGGCCTTAAGGCCACCCCCACTCCACGCTCTGCTGCTGTGCCCAACGTGGCGTGGCATATGGAAAGTGTGCGCTGCATTTTAATAAAAACCCATCGAGGGCACTTCTAGGGCAAGTTGTAGTGGCGGCTGACAGGGAGCGGGACCCTGGGCTACACTCATTTCCTGTGCGCGTGCGATTTCTGCTTGAGTGTCTTTCGATGTTCCTGAAAAACTCATTCCCGGATATGAGTTGTGGGCCTTCTATGCCAATTGTTTTTCGATTTCTATGTGCAGTTTCCCCTCTCCTCTGTTTGAACTCACATTATGCAATGCCACAAAATCCTTGAGATCGCGCCACTTGCTCTCGTACAGGGATCGCCGCGAGTACATGCGTTGAATGATGGCCGTCACATTACCAAACACCACGGCATGCATCAGAGCTGAATAAGGGATAAATACCCACATAAATAAGTAGCAACTAGAGAGCGCAACAAGCGGCATTGTACTCACCTCCAATAAGCATCATAATAATGGTAAAGACCTTCTCGCACGTGGTATTGGCCGACACGTTGCCGAAGCCCACCGACGTGAGACTGGTAAAGGTGAAGTACAGGGCCGTTGAGTAAGTTTCGGCCGCCGTCAGGATGGCCACAGTGGCGTTCTTTCGTTCGGCCAGCAGCTGCAGCCACCCTGTAAAAAATACTAAAGGGCATTAAGTACGAAGGGTGGGAAAGCGAAAAGAAAACTGGTTTAGTATTTAATTGGAAATTCGGCCAAACAAATTGTGCTAATCAAATTGACAATGACTGGGGGCGGCCTAGCTTCCCGACTCCCAGCAGTTCCCTACACAGTCCCAACATCCCACACGACTCTTCCCTGTGGGTGTCTGTCAGTCATTCCGTTGGAAGTTCGTGCCCAAATCCGGCAAAAGTTCCAAGCACGGACCGGAAATGTCAAACAGAACTTTTCGTGTGTCTATCCGGCTGGTGCCTCGTGCTAAGTAACTGGCAATTTGTGAGAGATTTTTCCCATGGCATGGCTTTTCCCCAACGGGCCAACTCCCCTACCACACACGCACGCACGCACTTCTAATATGAATTTACATATATTTATATGTGTGTGTGTGTATGGCTGATAAAGTGCTAGAAATATGATGATAAAAAGTTTCTTTATGCAGCAAATGTTTTCAATTACAAAGCAAGTTGATGATTTGATTTGATTTGATTGAATGTTCTTTAAACTTTGTGCCAACAAAATACATTAGAAGTAGGTGTAAAAAATGGTGGCCTGGTGTTGCAGCTGATGTGTATGTGTCGCCCGGGGATAGCACCCAGCAAGAGAGAGAGAGAGAGACACAAATTCAGTTAGCACCCAGTGGGGCATCCCATTTCCGACTGGCTACCAAACTAACCAAATTAATGTCCATCTGCCACGCATGCAGACGGGGACCAAGACCAGGCACAACTACTGAACCTTGACACTCACCAATGTTGCTCTCGGGGAACCATTCGTACTCCTTGACCGCTATCACGTACCAGATGCACGCCAGCCAGTGGGCGGCCAGCGTGAAGGAGAACATCAGCAATGTCAGTATCATGGCCGTATGCTGTGAGTATCGATCAATTTTTTGCAACAACCTAGCCAGGCGCAACAGTCGCGTCAATTTCACAAGATGGATGTGCGATTCCTGGGCGGAAAAAGTAAACAGAGAGCAAGCGGGAATGTTAGCGTCAAGTGTTACAAACTGGAGATACCTTAAACTACTTCTACACTCAATAACTAATGCAATGGAATGTACATATGTCCACTGTTAACATTAATACTTATGAGCAAACCCATTTGAAACGTACTTTTTGATAAGGTCCACGTCTACTCTCTCTCTCTCCGCAAGCATACCCTGCCCAAACTCTCGAGGTTATTGTGTATTGGGCATAAAAAGCGTTGTATTTTTTTCCTGGAATGTGCCACTTGCGAAGGTTAGTGACAAAATGCAAACATGTTTCGGTGAAGACTCCGCCTATTCCGCGTTTCGTCCATTCATTTTTCTTCGGTTCTCCGGTGTTCAGTTTCGCCCCCACACACTCCGGGCTTTATTTTCAACTTTTCACTTTAATCCTGTACTTTTGTTACGCATTTTTAGGGCACCACATTTTCTATTATGATTATACTACGACCACTTGACCTACGAAGGGTCCACTAAAAACCCAAATTGACAACTTCCGCCAAAGGGGCGAAATCAGGCAGAAAGGATGCCATCAAAAAAGATGAAAATAAAGTTAAAGAAGGGGCAAAGGAGTGTCGAGTGCGGGGTGGGGGAAGGAAAGTCTAATGCAAACATAAACAAGCTTATCGGTGGGGACGTTGGCCACCCAGAGAGAGACAGAGAGAGAGAGAGAGAGAGGGAGCGAGAACTTGGGAATTGAAGGCTAATGCCGTCGTTTAGTCTTACAGCGCCATAAGCGGACATTTTTATTTCTTTTTGTTGATTGCCGCTGACGAAGCGGCATCTTTAAAATGGCATCTAAGTAATGGGGCACGGATTATGTAGGCTGTCTTGCTCTCACTCACACTCTCTTTCTTTGCTGACCTGCAGCAGCAAATTCTTTGCGTGCGAAAAGGAGATGATTGAAAAACCTCTTGGCGGGAGCTTTTTGCGGTGCAGGTAGACAGCTAGCGACAGCGGCGGGTTCTCGGGTTCTCTCTTTCATTTCTCTGCATGTACAGAAGCTGCGGTTCGGTGGTGCACGATCACCATAGTTAAGACTCTTAAATATACATAAAAACTGCCGAGATATCTACATAAGTATCTGCTAAGTCCCTTCTCTTCTCAATTATTAACCCAAGACTTTTCCTATTCCCCGCAAATTTTCTTTCAACTTTCTATACACTTGTGCAACGCACTGTACTTCTGGTTCCCTTATTATTTTCGTGTGCATATGCGACAAAACACCACTGCCGCTGTCGCCGCCTCTGCCGCTGCTGCCTGACAAATTGTGATTCCCGTTGCAGTTCCCGTTTGTGCTGCGCTTTCACTTTCATTCTTTGCCTTCCACTCAAGCAGCTCTGCTCTCTCGCTACCCCCCTCTCCCTCTACCGATTCCATTCATCTACTTCCTCCCTCAATGTCTCTGTCGGTGCTCAAGTGTTTGCCTTCCTTTAACTTACGCTCCTTTTGTTTACTCATTACTTTGTTCTGGAAAGAGACAGCTGCAGCCATGGCGACCACTTCTTCATTTACGGTATTCCTGAATGGGGGATTTCAACTGCACAGCCACAAAATTCAAAGAGGAGCAACACGAAATCTACACCAAAACCGACTTGGTTAACTTTATTCCTCAGTGGACTCGCCAAAACAGGCAATTCAAAATTCATTTCCACTTTCTTCAGAGTTTTAAGTATTTCTGGATGAATATTTCAACTCTCTTGTTTCTTTTTTAAAACAGAGTATAGTAGTAGGCAGAGTATACACTACACAGCCAAGCATTCAAAAATAACAACAAAACCGACAGCCCTGACGCGTGACTCAAACAAAGTGCCCCGGAAAGTTGGGTTCTCTCTCTCTCTCTCTCTCTGACTGCCTTTTCTAGGGGGTGGTCCCTGAAATAATTAAAACTTTGCAATAAACTAAATATGCAAAAGTTTCAAGTGCATTAGCTTCAATTGTATGCAAAAGCGTTGAAGTGCTGGTACCAAAAAAAAAATTAATATTAAAGTGTAAATGTATAAAAATGTAAAAGTTTCGAGTCCAAAATACATTCATAAATGACTTTTGCTAAAGTTTAGTCGGTACCGAAGAAGCAGGAGAGTTCTGTTCTTGCAATTAGGAAACATTTAAGTTTTATCGAAACTTTCTGTGTCAGATTTAGCCGGTAGAGAGAAAGTGGACCAAGTGTCAGATTTAACTTTTTGGTGGCCTTGGAAGCCAACTATGGATGGGGAAAGGCTTTTTATTTGCTCACAGATTTCAAAACAGGAAGCTGGCCACGAAACAGCTAAGTAAACCGCAGAAAATGGCCCATGACGATGCAGAAACCAGAAATCAATGGAAAATTATTTTGAGTTTTTTTTTTTTAACAGAATTTAACAGGGATGAAAATCCAGTCTTTTTGGGAACAGTCCCGGTGCCATCTCGCAGGATATCCTTGAAATGTCAATGAAGGCTGCGGCAGCGTTTCATGCTCTCACAATCACAGCGCGGCTGTCCACTTCACAGGAAAGTCAAAAGGAACCCAGAGAAAATCAAAAGACAGACAGAAGAAAGGAATGAAGGCTGTCTTTGGGAGCGAACACTTTTGATACCCTTGCAGACCTTTTCGTGAAGAAAAACATCTAACAATCACACAATATATGACCTGATTTGCCTACAAAGATTCTCATTAAATAACTTTAAAAGCCATGAAAGACGATGACATATTTATCGGCTTTGTATTCGATCGACTCAGGTAGGGCTCGGATATAGTCTGGCCAAATTCCTAATACCCTGTGCGCTGGCACTTCAACTGAAAAGAAAAAGCTGCAAAATAGCGTAAGCTCCACTGAATGTTGCCTCAAGAGCGGCGGCTTTGTCCGTGTCTGTCGCGCCAAACCGCTCGAGGGTCGACTGCTGGTTCCTAGTGCTCGCTGGCATGGACAGTGGAAAGCACTATTAACTGCACTTTAAGCTTAAAGACCTCAAGGTCTGGCCGGGCAGACTGTTTTTGGGGCTTGCAATTGGTGTTAGTTTTAGTGCACATTTGGGTCACAACCTTGTCCAGCTGAACTCAGCTACTTGACCTGTGTGCGTAATTACAGCAAAAGCCAGAAAGAGCACTCTACCGGGCACACAGTTTGGCCAATTTAATCGGCTTAATGAGTGCCAAAAGCAACACTTAAATGATCAAGTGCCAGCCGAAAGGGGGCTTTGAAGTGGAAATTACTGTTAAAGCGACTTTTGTCTAGAAAAAAGCAAATAAAATAAGTGAAATTAATATTTGAAAATAAAGCCACGGAAATAAAAGTTCAATAAAGGTTGTGGTGACATTATTGCACGTGGCATTACTGCATGAATTTAATTTGTAAAAGGTGAGCAGGCATTCCCATCTAACTGTTCTCTCGCGCATAATGCGGTTTCATTACGTGCAGACACGCGGAACAGGAATAGTCAGAGAGAGCTTCTCTCTTTGCCTCTCTTTTCGTCTCACTTTGTAATGATGGATTTTACAGTAATCAGCAGCTGTGAGTGCATGCATACCGCTCTTAAATTGAAGACTTTTTCTCCCACACTCTGTGTGTGCACATTGTTAATCACCCCACACACACAGAGAGAGTGAGAGAGAGAGAGAGTGAGTCATGCTAATTAGATAACTGTACCATGCCGTACTCCACACTCTGTTTTTGTTATAATCGGATTTGGGCGACCGTTGGCAAAAACTGTGAACTTTTGAATATGCATTTTGCATGTGGCCCGACACAGTTTTATGCAAATATTTTAAGTCCATTTACCACTTGAAGCTCTGGCCATAAATGATTAATGTCCATGGGGCAGGAAAGTCAAGCGAATGGGCAAGCCGCAAAAGGATTTCCGAAATTCATTCAACAAATTGTTACAATTCGCAGTTAACAACCGTCAAAGTAATTCATCATATTAAGAGTGGCTGAAACTGCTTATATAAAACCCGTACAAGGCACACATTTTGGGCCAATGCAAATCTGGCATTAATAATGGAAAGCAGCACTCATGCAACTGTTGCTGTTCGAGAAGCCTTTGGAGGATTACTCACCTCACCGTCATACAAATCGGAGGCATACAGATGATCAAAGGGCAAAGCGGCGAGCAGATCCAGGGCGAACCAGCCTCGAAAGTAATTGATGGCAATCTGCTTCGAATTGGACACGACCTCACCTTTGCGCGAGACGAAGGTCGTGCGGAAGTTCAACAGAATATCTGCAATAAAATGGCAATAAAGGTAAACGGTGAAACAATGGTCGACGGTCGACGGTCGACAGATAAAATGTTTATAAGTCTCGCTCCAGCGAGACAAAGTCAATTCAATTTCTCTTCCTTCTCCCAATGGGGAATGCAGGCAGCAAGTCCAATCATCATAATGATGATGATGATGATGATTGTTGCTCCCGAACAACAGGTTGCCCATAAGAAGAGGACAACAATGTCCAAGTTGTGTGGGACTCAGCACTCTGTGTGTGTGGGAAAAACTCACCGACTATGAATAGCGCCTCCACAATGACATCGGAGACCATCGTCTGTCGATCCGCCTTGGCGAACGCTGCATTGTATGGCACCATTAGGGCCACATAGAAGGTGGCCAAAAGTATCACCCAGTCCCAGAAGCCCTTGAACACACCGTAATGGGGCAGAATCAAGCGTGACTTTTTTATCGATTGTGTTTTATATTCGGGAAATGGTGCCTCGGTTGAATGCATAAAGTTCTGCAAATGTGAAAGCAAACCACAAATTTCACATGAAAAGTGAATTAAAGCAAGTCCGACAGAGCGACTTTAATCACGTTAATTGAAAAACCCCCCGCAACCATTATCAAAAAAGGAGCGGCAAAGCGGCAAAGCGGCAGCAACAACCAAAAACCCCGTGCAACACATCAAAAGGTTTGGTTTTAATTTAACGTGTGGCGCAACGGGTTTGGCTTTGTGATTGTTGCTGCTGCTGTTGTTGTTGCTTTTCCTGCTGATAGTTGGTTCTACGGTTAATCACCCTCCGGGTATCATACTCACATTGCCCAGCTTCAATTTGGTTTTGACACCACCCTTCTCGGGCTTGTAGTGCCCCGAGAGTTGGTACAAGACCGCACGACTGCGTCGGCGTCCCATGTTGCAGCCGGCAGGCACATCCAAATTGTTGCCCTCGCCGGCCTCCACATCGCCATCGCTGTCCGCGGGCCCGCCCAGCCCGGGCAGGCCGCCCAGGCCCAGCATTCCGGCATTGGACCCGGCCCGGAACCGAGCGCCCAGCAGTGCAGCTGTAAGGGCAAAAACTTACAGAGTCGCAACAAAAAACCCAAACAAAATAATGAGGATAATGTTTGAGGGCGTAACGGTAGTGGGGAGGATTGTGGGTTTGGGTGTTGGGTTGTTGTTATATAATTACAATGATTTACCGTATCGGTGTTAAGAGAAGAAAGAGCACAAGGAGAGAGAACACATAGAATTGTACACATAAGACACGGTGAATTCCATTTAATTTTCAAATATTTATAATGTTTCTTATTTATTTTTGTTTTATTTTGCACCTGTACAGCGGGGAGCGGGGGAGTCAAATGGTTTTTTAGTTTAATTTTAACTTTTAAGGCCTGTGCCTGTGTGTGTGTGTGTGTGTGTGTGTAGTGAGTGTTTTTCGTGTCTTCCTTGCTCTCGTATGTAGAAATATTTATTGTATTTGCAGATTCCTTGAATCAAGTGCTGTGCATACCAACATCGAAGCGTTGTCAGAATTTAACAATTAATTATTGTCCGCTGGTGTGTTGGGCAAATATTTGTACAGCCCCGGACATTCCGGCAAATCAAGCAGAGCAAACAGCATATTTCAGGGCCCAGCCGATAAGAATGTCCACCCCCAGAACCCACTCGATAGTCGCCCATAAATTTGTTGTGTAAACAAGGCAAAGTCGTAGGCGGCCGGCCGCAGCCACAAGGCAAGCTCATTAAATTGAACTCAATTCTATTTGTGGGGCTAACCGCAAAAACAGGCTCTGGGAGGCATGCGACATGCTATAAATTACAATTAGGTTGATGGTGAAAAATAGCAACCAAAATGAATTTCCCATCGCCAGAGCATACTAATTATTACGAAAAAGGATCACCAAAATTATGCAAATAAGCCGCCAACAAAAACCGAGCCAAAACCGAACCGGTCCGTCCACAGGGGACTATAAATTTGATTTCAATTTTGAGTACCGCCCACTGGCCAGTCCAGTCCAGTCCAGTCCAGTCGGACTTTTGCCTTCATATCAAAATGCCAATTAAGCGCTGTCCGGCACCTCCGTGATCCGTTGCCAGGGCAGCAGCAACTTCAGTCGGAAAAAAAGGTAAGCAACAAAAATAAAGGAACTTTCAACGCAGCTTACGCTCAATGCATACAAAAATATTTACCTATATGTATACATTTTGTATGCGAGCAGAAATACTTCTCATAAAAACGTGGAATACTTAAACGTAATATACTAAACGCAAAGCATTCGAGTGTCACAACAGTGGTCCGGAGTGAGGCCTAATGATGTGTGAAACGACGGTCATCATCATCATTATCATCACATAACTGTCACTGTCAAGGCGATAACGATGATAGCGACAATTATGACTTGAAATGTACCTTATCAAAATCAGCTTTGTCATTAGTCTGCCGTATTCTCCGCCTAATTACATTTCCACCCAGCCCAGTCCTGTCCGTCCGTCCCCTTTTGTCTTTGTGACAACATTAATTCGCAATTGATGTGGATCAGCACTCAACATTTTCCAGCCTGCTTAACTCTGCCGGAAATTGAGTTTGTCAAGGCTTGTTGGGCTGCGAGTTAATTTCATTTGCATAAATTAACCAAAATTTAATTCAACTCCCAGCAAACAGTCGCAGGCAACAGCTTCAGTCTGGGCAACAAGATGGATGGCAAATAAATTTATAGTCAACTGCATTGCTGGTCGCTCGTTGTTGTGCTTGTGGCATTCAATAGACAATCTAATGCAATTCATTACAGCATGTTCTCTGTCAGGGAAATGTGTGTTTCCCCGGACATTTAATGGCAGCAGCCAGGATGCAACGTGGAACTTGTAACGCTGCCTGCAACAGGCGGTAGACATCGACAGCTGACAGACATTCCCCATACAGAGATTTCAAACCAATTTGGCAGCTAGAAATGATGTACTTTAAAAATGTGGGGGAATGATAGATTTCCAGTTCAGTTTAAAGCTTCAACCTCAGGTCACTAGAGAGAGGAGGCAGAGCTCCATGCTCTGAAGTTGTTTGGGTTGAGAGTCAGCTTGTGCTGGCCACTAAATCCTCTTGCATCTGGCCGAGCTTCAAGTGGCTTTAGCACTATTTTGCATGGACTGTGCCACTGACGATTCCACTGGCAGAAGCATAGCAGCGGCAGAGATAAATAACGATGGTAATCAAGCTTCAAGGATAAGCAGGGAAAAGCAGCGGAAAGGTCAGGTGGCAGACACACGTTTTTCTTTTGTTTAATACCCCCTCTAAATACCCCAACGAATACCCCCACACAAAAACCCTTGACGTGCCAAAGTAAGTTGCGATTCTGTCAGAATTCTGTTGCTGCTGTGCATCAATATTTTAGGGAACTTTGTGCGCCCCATGGGAGGATACGGCCAACACACACGTGTGTGTCCAACTTTTTGTGTCTAACTAATTCCCAGAATTAAGCAGCTGGGCATATTTGATGCCGCTCAACTGGAAAAACAACTCGGGACAGCACACAAAGACATTTCCAGCTAAAAGCCTCACAGTGTGCACTGTGTGCCGAGTGAGGTTAATTAGGGTAAATGCATGGATTGAGCTCCTGGGAAAAAGTGTTCGAAGGACTACTATGAAACTTTAATGCGACGCTTGGACAGGATGTCTTGTCAAGCAGCAATCTTAAATGCTCAAAATGCAGTAGGAAAACAACCAAATATCAGAATATATAATGTGATTCCTGGAGGGTAATTAGCATTGCGAATTCATGCAGATCAAAAGTAATCCGCAGCATCCGGTTTGGCAGCCACGAAAACGAAAACGAAAACGAAAACTCTCTGCACGGCCACAAATCAGAGTGTAGCAAGTCTTAAAACGCGCATAAAAAACGCAACGCAACGCAAAGCCACATTTAAATTAATGTGAAAATATAGTGCCACGCATACATTCAGCTGTCAGGGACACGCGCCGACAGAGTCAAAGGTGGACCCGGGACCCACACAATCCAGCCAGCCAAACCACGAGCAGGAAACTAACCGAAAATTCGTTAACCCAAACCCAAGAGCAGATCGTAAATAAAGAGTTGGCTATGAAATGTAGAAGGGCTTTTCTGTCCTCAAACTAAATTAAAGTATCTTCAATTTTCCCTTGATTTTTCCATGTGTTTTGTGCGGTGTTCATTTGTGGCTGTGTGTTCGCACGAGGCAGAGTTGGAGTTAGTTTGGGTTGGGTGTTTAGTAAGTGCATTCATTATGTACATGTTATGTACATAAGGTACATTTCTCCGACATACAGGTTTTCCTATAATTTGTCGATGGTATTAACCTGTTTGGCGTACTTACCGCTATCACATTCCTCGTTCACATTCATCTCTAGCATCTTGGTGTGGGTGATGTCCTTGTGGGAGGCCAGAAAGAGCACCACATCGCGCTTCTCGTTCTTAATGGGCACAAGGTCGAAGAGGCACCAGAACGGAGCACCTGCAAAAGTGCGAGTGAGAAACGAGAGCCAAAGTGTCGGTTAATTATCCATCCATCAGAGAACTATTTATAGCCTTATATTTGTACGTATTTATAGCAATTTCCTGTGGACGTGTCTGCTATTGATTATCATTTTGCAAAAACCGCAATGCAAATGAGATTGGCTTTCAATCGGCGGGCGACCTACATTCCGCCGAAGGCTTGACCCAATTTTTAATTAGCTGTTAAACGCTTTGCAAGTGCGCTGAAATTAATATATAAATTGCATGGCAACTCAATTAGACCACAATTATTGTGTGGACTGCATTTCAATTAGCTTCCTCGATGATATGCTATCCAGGGCAGACAGCCCTTGCCCCTTGCTCCACAGCTGATGCATAATTAATAATATTCCACAGGACGCACTGGGCATGGAGCGGGGTACTCGGGGGGAATGGTCTATGTTTGTTAAAAGTTTTAAACGTTTCGCTAATTAGAAAACTTATACTCCCAAGCACCCAATGATGGATATATTTACTTATCCTTCTCCGGGGCTCATCTTCTGTCCTCTGATTAATCGTGACCTCATTAGGGAACAAAATGTCGCGCAAGGGACGTGAGAAAATGTTTAAGAGCAAAATGTATTGTGTACACAGAGCAAGGCAGGGAAGGGGGATGGATTTGTGGAGTGTCCCGCAAGGCGAACAACCATCTGAGCGCGCGGGGGCAGCAACTAGTTGAAGTCTGTCTCTCGCTTAACTCAATCAGGAACAGGGTTCCCCAGCCTGTCTAACTGTCTGCCTCGGTGAGTGACTCTCTTAAATTACAAGTCAAAGGCAAAAACTGGGCAAAAGGGCACTAAGGGAGTGGGGAATAAGAAACAGTGGCTGTCGCTGTGGCTATGGCTGTGGCTGTGGTTCTCCTGTCAGACAGTAAAACTCTGCAGGTGATACTACAATTGATTGTCGACTTTTCATTGTCGTCTTTGTGCAATAATAATCCTTTTGTGCGCCACAAAAAAAGCTTAAATATATTTATCTTGTCTGTATATGAATAAACGGTGACAGCGTTACGTTGTGATTAATTAAAGAGAGTTTTACTTCTTTGGCTAATCATCTTCACGCGCTCACTCTCTTCGCTTAAGCTTGACGCGCTCACTCTCTTCGCTTAAGCTTGGGCTGGCTTCACGGTTGCTGCCGATCATTTACAGTTAGTTTCTTACAGCAATTCATGCGTGTTAATTGAAGCTATGGCATAGGCAGACAGAAAAGAAGAATCAGTGAAAAGAAAACAAAAAGAAATGGCTTTCATGCTTGCAGCGATTGTCTGTTTTGCAGTCCTCTTAAGCTTTTTTTTTCTTCCACCCATCAATGGATTTACGATTATGTTTTGGCGCAAATGTATGTGTGTGTGTGTGTGTTGGTTACAGCAGCCGAATGTACGGCAGAGAATAAGCTGCACCAGACACGAGACTAAGAGAGAGAGAGAGGGAGATTAAGCTGCCAGAGGGTATATGCATATGCATGTGCAGTTTCCAGAGAGTAAGCAAAGCAGACAGAGAGTTTTTTTAGGTTATTTGTTGGGTCGTTGAGAGCTTAACTTTTCAGTGCTTACTACGAGCAATCGGACAACCGCAAGCACAAAACATAATTTCCTTTCTGTTAGTCACGAATTATGACACTCTCCAACTCTCATTTTCCTAAAATTTTTAATTAAAATACAAAAGAACAAAAGAAAGTAGAGAAAACACAAAACAAAATTAAAGAAACAAAACAATTTTCAAAACATTCGCGCACATTGTAATTTACCCATCCCAGCAAACATTCTGCCTGCGCTGGCGACTGACTTACCTTCTTTCTTGTAGAAAATCACCTCGAGCTTCAGTTCCATTTTGGCGGAGAGGCTTTTCTCAATTTGCTGTTTGTGCTCGTCCTTCGTATCCGGTCCATAGAGGAAATGACATGAGCAGCCTGTTTCGTGTTGTGCAAACACAATTGAATACAATTGAGTACAAACACAAAACATTCAAATGAGTATTCAAGTGTTAAATAAGTTGGGCCTGTCCTCTGCCCTCCTGTCCCGTTCTGTTGTGTTTTGCACAGCAGTCCCCCTACAGTTCTTACCCTTTTGCATAATTTGAGCGCGTGAATATCCTGTCAAATCCACGAACCCATCCGAGCAATAAACAATTGGATTGCCATTTGCCTGCGCATTGCCGAGCACAAAGTTGGAGTCTGTAAAGGAAACCGACAGGAAGAATGGGGTTGAATTAGAAGAAGAACAATAGCAGATGGAAATGGCAATGGAAATGGAGTTGGAGTTGGAGTTGGAAATGTGTTCTGGGAGGCTCTGGGTGATGTTTAGCCGCTTCTCATTTGTCATGAAATATTGTCCCGACAAATAAACGGCAATAGGACAAGTCCTGGCTGGGCTTCAGTCTTGGAAATTTGCACTTGTTTTATTATTTGTGCCAGCACGGGAGTAGTTACCTCAAAAACCGAACAATCGAAATTTAATTGAATTTCCCACCACGCATGCAGCACAAAAGGAAATTCTTGCTGTGCCAATGTGGATAATTTTCTGCTCACTGAGAGTGAGAGCGAGGCTGAGTGGCCTAAAACCACCTGAGGGGTTACCAAAAAAAATAAGATTTATTCCAACTTGGACAAAGCACAGAGTGCAGTGATTCTTGAAGCCCCTGCATTTATTATTGGATTCCAAAAGAGTTCTTTCCTTTCAGCAGCTCACATCACAGTTGCAGATGCACACAAACACACACATCCTTAGGCTGCAACTGAGAGTCTTTGAATAGAGAGCATATCAGGATTATAATTGCCAGCACAATGGGATACAGGAGTCATCTGTGTTTGAATGAAATGTAATTGAGCAGAAACGGCAAGCCGGATGAATGGCAGCCCTGAATGCGAACTCAAAATTCGTAAAATGAAATCCATTTACATGGAAGTGTAACAAGCCAATGTAATTCCATTTATGGCGTATAATCAAATTTCTTTGAAATCTAAACCAATTTACTTAGTTTGTTTGGTGTACAATAATTGGCGTTTCCCTACCCAAAAGTGCATCCAATTCCAGGACAATTGAGCGAACAACAGGCAAAAATATGCGCGTAATTGTTGCCAATCAAAACAACTGTGTCATCAAAGCTCCTGCTTAATATTGTATACTTGAAAACTACAAAAATATGTTGTAACACAACTCGTGCTGTTAAGTGCAATTCGTAATTTAATTATATAACAATTACGACCATTAGCGCGCATCTCGCTCACACACAGTGGGAAAAGGTGAACAAAAAACTAAACGCTTTTTATTGTATTATTTGCTAATTGCTGTTTCCTGTTTTCAGCGTTGTATGTTAACGCTTTCACTGTGTGTAATAACCATATACTGAATGCCAGAAGGAGCTGACAGCAAACTATGCATAAATTGATTTTTACTTTGATACTTTTTTGGTGTACGCTGGGCCAGGGCCAAACCAATTGGCTCAATATGTGACATCGCACAACATTATCCAATGGGAGAATCTCATCAGTGACTCCACTGGCATTTACGCAGCATTGGCATTGCATATCAACACAAAGTTGAACAAAGCCTTTTTGCCTCTCGAAATATTTACTTGCAAAGCCGCAAATTGATCCAAAGTGAATCAAAATCAACTAAACGATAAATCTCCCAGGGTATCAAGATCTTTGAGTGCAAGAACTAACTAATTTTACTTTCGTATTTTTGTTTGAGTTGCGAGCACAAACAGAGAGACGGCGAGACATCGAGGCAGCCAGAGTAGGAGCCACAGCCTGAGCCTGAGCCTGGGGCTTAGTTGACTCGACTGCTGCTCATTTAATATGCTCATTTTATTATTTATGCCTCGTAAAACCTTTTAATCCCCCCCCACCCCCTCGGCTAAGTGCAACATGGGAAAGGGGGGAAAAGTTCACATCATGTTCAGAATTTGTGACAACTTGCAGAGACAATTATCGCCATCCAAGTGTTGTGTTTTGTGCGTGAAAGAGACAAAAAGCAACACAAATAAAAGCAATTAATTTATTTGATGGGCGGTCGACGATTACCGGACACGTGTGTGTGTGTCCTGTCATCGGTTGCTAAGGTATTTAATATTATTTAGCTGTCAACAGCTTAAATCTCTTTTTTTATGTCAGAGGGGAAGTCTGCTCTGGGTATTTCTTATTTTATGCTGCTCTCTGATTAACGCGGCTTTGCTTCATTACCCCTCGAAAGCCGACGCATGGTGAAGATGGTGGGAAAGAGCAAGCAAAGAAAGTTGGAGGCCGAAGAGAACGCTAACGAACGAAGAACTAAATGAGGCTGGGAGAGGGAAGTGGGAAGAGGGAAGAGGGGGGCTTAAAATAATATCCGCATGCAAAAGGCAGCCAAACAATTGCACAGTTTAATTTACTGTAAAGCATTCTATTTTTTTCTCTCAATGGAAAAAGGCTCCGTTGAGGCTTCTGCCCTGCGCCTTCGTTGCCAAAGCAATGCGGGCCGCCGATCAGGAGGCAGAAAGTTACACTGAAACAAATATTTTTCCCATTTCTCTTTGAAAACTACCTCAAAATTACTCCGCAACTTTAAAACGTTTAAAAATGCAACAAAAATTGGTTTTTGTTAACAAATCGATCGAAGAGAGTCTATTTCCTGTGCATTTTATAAACACAACAAATATTTTTGTGTGTGCACACACAAACACACACATAGTTTTAATTTCCCCTGTCGACTGGGGCATTCGGCAAGCTTTATGCGCTGATTTCAATATGGATAAGGTCCACCCATCCACCCACAAACACAACACACAACACACAAGCACACACAGAGGTAGAGACGCAACAATTTGTGCTCCAACGGCAGCTCTCCCAATGCGCCAGCACTTAACAGAGACAGTGGGGTGGGTCCCTCGTGCTAGGAAACAGTATCAGCAGGCAGGACTGCTGGCAAGAACTGCTGGAAATCTCTTATGTGGATTTTTGTTTACGACTTGCCCGAAAATGCGAGCAGTTGACTTGAGCGCACCAAGGCTCCTCCCACTGCGGGGGGGGGAGGGGGAGGGTTCTCAATAAAAATTGTCATAAATATAACATTACAAAATATCATACATGAGTGTGGGTTTTCGCTTAGCATATTTCACTTACGCGTGCCATCGAAGCGCGTGGCGATGGTGTCCAGAAATGTGTTTTGGGGCGCTAACAGCCCCTTGCGCGCTGGCATGGGAATGGTGGGGCCGGTGCGCCTATAAAAGCGCTGCTTAGGTCGTGGCAATGCTGCAAAAGATACACAAAACATATAGTTTTATTATATTCTATTTTTTGTATATATATTTTGTTAATTGGCTTTTTCCCTTTCATACCCAACGCATTGTTATGGCCCCTGCGTTGTGTTTTCATTTATGTAAATTTATTTATGCAAATACTATTGTTCCACACTTTTTTATGCTACAGGCAGACAAGACAGTGAACTAATGTGGAAAAGGAAAACCACAACAACAAGCACAAGCCGAAGCCGAAGCACAAACAAGTTGCAAATACATCAATTGACTTGTTTCCGTTTTGGTAGTTCATTTTTGTGTGCCACACTCAGGCATACTCGGGTTCGTGTGTGCAGGTGTCGATGTTCATTTCTGGGAGCAACATGGCAAGAAAAAACAGCAACTAAAAAGAGCAACGACTGCAGGTTGGACAGTCTTCTAATGATATAAATAAATGCTTATCAAATGCATTGATAACACTCAATACCCTCAGTTAGAGTATTCAAAATTCCACTAATAAACCGAGTCTCGAGCCACGCCAACAGCTGTTGATAAATATTCGTGGAACAAAAATGACAGAAAAGTCGAAGTGCGATAAGAATATCGTTGGCGTTGAATGTCAATCGCTGACGTCACTGGGGCCAAGCATTAGGGCGTTGCAGGAGGCCGAGACAGCAGAGACAAGTAATTTTTTAAGCAAGAAAAATGCGTCAGAACATGACATTTCCACTTATTCGCTGCTGTAAAGGTCGCAGCGGAACTCATAAGACCCCGGAACTCTTTAATCAGTGCAAAAATCCCACCTGACGTTTGGCTTTCAAGCCAAAGTTGGGGCAACAAATTTGATATCAGAGTTTCCATTTCCTCTAGTTTTCTAGTTGCGTGGATCACCCTACCTACCTACCACCCACCACACACTGATTCTCATTAGGTTTGCCCGATAACACATGCCAGCAGCCGATAAAGACTTTCGCAATTGCCTGTCCACAGCGCTTACCCCTAACCTAACCTGGGCACAAATTCAGTTAGACCGCAAATGCAATCTTGATTAATATTCCATTACATGGCACAGGACCAAACCGAACCGAACCGAACCGAACAACACACATGGTACAGATACATAGGTGGATATAGTTGGGGTGGGCGGCGGGATATGCACAATATGTCGGGATGTCTGGTTAGACCGCAAAATTTTAATTTCCAACATTTCCGCAACAACCTGTCGAGTGGGTGTGTCAAGGGTCTGGGCAGAGCAGGTGGCAGAGCAGGGGAACATATGATTTCATGGATGTCTCTCTGTGTGTGTGTGTGTGTGCCGTTTCCTTTTCCGGCTTATTCCACATGATTAAGCTGATGCTACTCGGCAGGCAGCTGCTGCTCACATTCTGCCCCATGAGGCTGCACAGCGCTCAAGTTTCTTTGGTTTTTTGCATATACTAATATAATTAACGCTAGCTAATCAAACCTCAAAGTGAATTTGCAAATCCATAAATGAAATCTCTCTCAAGTTGCATCACAATATCCTGCACATTCGAGTATAAAATATTTCGTATTGATTGCGCTTTTGTTTTCGTAAAAATGCCAAAAGCCTCTGCTTGTAGATTAATATTCTGCACACAGCTGATCGACAATTAATTAAATTTCATATCTAAAAACTACTCACAGTCTGGTTAAACCCTGAAGCCTGAAAGCTAAGGATTTGACAGTTTTCGATAGGTAAAGGAAACTTCAATGGAATCAACATTCAGTCGAATCAATCAGTGCTAACTATGAGGACTAGAATTTGCTAATCCTAGATCAAAATTGTTTACAGGAACAGCAGAAAGTCCATGCCCTGAACGCCCAGTCTTCCACGAACGCCTCTCCCACATCTTCTCTGAAAATGAAATAATCTTTAAAGCAGATTAAAAAGGCAACTCGTGTGGCCCCCGTCCTGTGTTCATTTAAGCAAATTTTGGCTTATGCTGGCCAGAAGCTCGACGTAGAGCCACCTAATAACCGGCGTTAAGACCAAATCGCCTTGTAAGAGAGCGAAACGAGTTTGGAATTTTTAATTCTGCCTTCCGCATGTGGCAGCCCAGCAACGGGCACGTGCCCCATAACAAAAAAGTATATGGCATGTGCACAAAGGGCAGCGAGGGGGGAAATACGATAATATTTTTTGGGCATTTCCATGGCTGACCGAATGGCCAGAACCAGGGAATTGAATCGTGCAAAAGGGAAGGCAAAACGTAACTCAATTGGGCCCCAACAATTTTATTCCATCTTGTGGCACATGCCTGCCACACGGATATGGGTTGGGATTCATTCATCAGTCGTCTGTGGTATCCTTTTTGGAGCTGCGTCGTCGCTGCACCCGACTCTGGATGAATCCATGTATCAGTTTGTTTCCATTTGAGAGAAAGTCGAACCACAGGTTCATGTCGGCCTCGAAGTTGAACGCGGGCATGGACTGCATATCGGAACGGAATCCGCGCACATAATACAGAACGTCCTTGGGCCAGGGACAGCGTTTGGGCACATTGCTGAAGCGATCCATGCGCTCGCGTCCCAGCTGAATGAAGGCGATCTGATTCTTGTTCGAGAGCAGACTGCAGCCATCGATGCCAGTGAGATTGAACAGGGTAAAGTCCTCGCCCCTGCTGCGCGGCAGGACGATGCGCATGTTCACCTGAAACCGGACCACCGGTTCGCGGAACATTAGCTCAATGTTGAACGAGGGACGACGCACGCTCTTGCTGAGGCCACACTTCAGGTGCGACAGCATCCCCTGGGCATCCTCTCTGCGGCACGTGCAGTTCGTGAAAATCATATCAAAGTTGGCCTGCGATGAGGGAAGCCGTATATTTATTTCAATCCCATTTTTAGATGTTTATACATCACCTTGCTGTTGGCGCCCTGCTGCAGCCATCCCGCAAAGATGAGCAAAAAAATTGCGCTCAATTTGAGATACATTCAAGCACAAACGACAACAAATTGCAACTGAAAATAATTGCAAATTCTTACTAATCCATCCGCTTGACTAATTACTCTCTCATTTATGTTTAGCGTTTTTTAATGTCTCACTTTGAACGGGCAATGCATTAATTGACAAAGTGATTACGAGTGATGAAGCAAGCCATCAATGAGCTGATTATAATTATAGAAATATGTAGGCAAAGCCAGGGAGAGAGAAAGTAGAAATTCGTGGCACCAAATCTTGAAAGTTTGTTCATATTGAATGCGAATATTTCCACTTTTTAATATCATTTTAGATCCCGAATTGCACTCAAACTTCAGTCTGTTGGCTGTTGATAAATATTTACCTTCTGTTAACTGAACAACAAATATTTAAACGCTTTTATGTGTGCTGCGCATTGATATGTATCTTCGCGCTAAATTCACAAATTTGCACAGCATTTTTCAATGATTTTCCACAGCTCGTTGCCCCACTCTGTGCTCTGGCCCACTATCATAACGATGGTTATTATTTAATCAAACATTAGTAACGGCTCGGCGGACAGCTTCGCTGAAATGAATATTCTAATGCAGGGGCCATCAATTACCTACAGTTTTGTTGTGCATAATCCGAACTGAAATGTTGCCAGAGAGGTGCTTCGTGCTGCTGCTGGGCACAATATTTGTGTGGTTGCTTTGTTTGCAACTGAAAGTGGAGGCCAAGGTGCGTATGAGTGATGCAAACAGGAGCACAGCTCTGATTTGGTTTGTACGAGTTTTCCCACAGACCGACTTTGAGCTGCAGGTGGACAACTTCACGTGCAGCAGCCAGGACACGGACTTACAAATGCTAAAGCATTACCGATGCGGCATGAACAAGAACACCAAGCGACGGAGCTGGCACATGGAGTTTCAGTTGCAGCAACCGCTGGCCGAGTACGAGGTGTACATTTCGATCGTGCTGCCACGCCGCAAGCCCATGCCGGACTTTGTGCTGCTCAACCTCACCACCGATGGCTGCCAGCTGCTGTGCAACCGCAACCAGGTGCCGCTCCTCAGCCTTGGCCGCAACATCATGAAGCGCTTCAGCAACTACCCCAAGCAGTGTCCCTTTCAGGGTGATCTCATCTACTATATACGCGGCTTTCGCATGGATCTCAGCCTACTGCCTGCCGTCGAAATGGAAACCCCGGTGCACATAGAGTTTGGCTATCAGGTCAAGTCGCAGGGCCTACGCTGGCTTCAGGGCAACCTGGCGGCACGTGTGCAGCGTATAAGCGAAAAGAAGCGACCCAAGATACGGTAAGGGACAGAAACACAAAGAAAAGTGTGGAAAATATATGAAATAAACTTGAACCCAGGTGCAGCATTCGACATTTTCGCTGGTTAAGATTAGAATTAAAAGAAAGAATGGATACAAATGGCTAAAATTTGTTATGGTTACCAAAAGAAAGACCAATCCACCTGATAATTCTCCCAGCTGCTGTATAACAGAAATTATATGCTATGACAAATCAGCAGGAAAAGTAGCATATGGCCCAGGGAGTTAATATTGTAGAAAATCATCATCAACCTCCACCTGTCCGTGGCAGCACAATCATCATCCTCCAGCTACGCCTTTACCTGTCGCATGGCCTGACAGTTTCCGCCTTCAGAATCAGCTGATGTTGGGCTACAGCTACAGCTACAGCTACAGCTACGCATTCGGTGTTATTCCTTTCATGTCACTCCACAAAATGTTGTTCAATTACCTCCACAAAAGAAGGCGACAGACAGGGACGGCGGACACAATGCGACAGAGCGAGACAGATAGAGAGACATTGTAACGGTATTTTGCCGAGTGTTTGCACGACTGACAGACGGCACTCGGGGACGCATGGAAGGTGCGGAACAGTACAAGACAGAAGCCAGAGCAACAGCTGCCACAATTTGCCATTTGACAGATGACGCGGCAATGGGGCAAATACGGAGAAAGAGAGACAACTAATAGCGTTTGTCCAAAGTTTGGCAGGGGCTGAAGAGGGTAACCGAGCAAAAGAAATGAGAAATGAGACGACAATGTCGTCTGTTTGATGATTTGTTACAGTAACAGGCACTAGTTACCATTACACACACCATTAAAGGCCACTTTTCTGGTGGATGGACTTCTTTGTCCATCCATGTGTTGGCGACTTTCTTTATTAAGATCTCCCTTCAGGCATCGGAAAAAACTCTTGCCATCGGTCATTCTTTCACTAATTCATTCTACACTCTCATCCTCTATTTGACTCTCTTCGCTGTCTCTCTTTGCTCAACTTTAATCCGCTCTCTGCACCTAGCTCCCCCCTCCACTAATTTACATGCAGCTTTGCAGCAGCGTGAGTTAATTAGATGTCAGAGATGCACAAAGACATGTGTGGTCGTCTCTCTCTCTCTCTCTCTCTGTCTTTGTGTTGCTATCTGTTGGTGTCGTTCCGTTACAATGCATTTGGGTTAACACATAAGCACACGATGGCCCAAAACCAAAGCATGTTGACGCCAACATTGATTTAGAACCCTTTCAGCAGCAGGCTGAAAACCAATTAAGGCCAATCTCAACTAGGACCATATGAGCTGTCTCCCATAACCCCACAACACAGGAGACACAAAGAGCCACAAGGTGTACAGCCGTGCAAGCACTTCGATAATTATTGAACACAAATGCATTTGAACCTGCTCTTAAAGTTCATGTTGCGCCCTAAGAGAAAAGAGACACAAAAATCGAAAGAAGAGCGCACCGCAAAGAAGTAAAGCTCCCGTATAAGAGCTGCTGGCAAAACACTCACACAACATGGACTCAAGTTAATGAAGAATTTTTTGGTACTCAAAATTGTTCAACAAATATTAAAATGGCAGAGAGAGAACACAAGAAAGATGAGTTGGAATTTTGGAGGAACCTTAAAGCATTACGAGTAATAAGTACGACAAGGGAAAGAAAGCTAAAACGAGATTTGGGCACCAAACAAGAAGTTACTCTTCATCTGTCTGCCAACGCAGCCCAGCCAGCCGTCTGTCCTTCGTCATTGTTTGAATAGGAGTTTAATGTTTCCCCTTTACACCAACACCCTGCTAAGTTGCCAAACAGATTAGGAGTCTTGAATTTTTAATCTGTTTCGCAGCCAAAGCAGTTTCCAAACAATTGAAACCTTAAATGCTGATAAGCCGAGAGAGAGGCCCCCCCACATTTCTGTGGTTAGACCGCAGCTAATGAATAGTTTAGGCAGAACCTGTGGGTAGTACGAGTGAGTATGTTTTCGTTGCTCGTTGCCACAGAAGATTTAACTTAAAATCTGAGGTGGGCGGGGTTTGGTTAAGCCCCGCACCGCACAATGCCTTTTATGACCGCCCCGACCTGGCGCCGACTTTGGGACCCAACTTTGGCCATAATGCAGACAGAAAAGTACTTTACTTTCCGCCTTTTACCGCACCATCAGGCCACAAAACAAAGTTGTGAGGTTTTTAGGAGTTACTCTTGGGCAAAAGTATTATTTTTTGTCGAAGTTACCAAAACTTTTTCCACGTGTCCCGCTGAAAGGTTTTCCTGCCGCACGCTCTTTAATTCGATTCTGAACAGAGCAAAATCTTGACTGTCTGTCTACACGAATACACACTTTATAATTAATTAAAGCAAGTTTGTCTTTGTGCTTGAAAAACCTGCAGCACATTTGCCATGGCTGCCAGCTGAATATTCAATGAAAAATGACATTACTGGGATAAATAATTGCGCAGAGTGAACCCAAGAGTCACGGACAAGCTGCCGACTTTTAAATGCTCTTTAAGTGATTAACACTAATCCAAAGAGCGGAGAAGAGTTACCTGCTTAAAGTAGTGTTGGTAATGTTAAAACAGTGTTGGAAACTTCACTGCACTCCACTCCACCAACTCAGTTTTGATGTGTACGTGTACTTTTGTGATGCAGTGAAAATGGCTAACAAAAGTTCAACATGAAAAGTCATTTGGCAATTGTTTGTCGTGGCCAAAGTGCAGAAATTGTGAAAATTGTGAAAATTCATCTATTCTATTCCTTCCTCCCCCCATCTATGCAAAATGTGGGAAACTCTGGTTGTTGCTGCTGTCAATTTCACAGATTAATGCGCACACAGTTTCGAGGAGAAAAGCCAGAAGCCCTGACCATGGACGGTGCTGACGGTGCAGCCACCACCAATGCCACCAAAGGCAAAAGTTTTGCTTTTCGATGGATGCCTTGGCCTCTTCCGCAACACACCAAAATTGATTTACAGTATAGATACAGATAGATTTGAATCATCAAAGCCCTCGTCGGCTTGGCCCACACCCAAAGGCTGCGCCTCTCCGCAGGCAAAAATAGGGAAAGGGAGCTCAAAATACAATTTATTGCTCTGCAGGCAAAGCACCAACAGAGATTGGGGCTGGGACTGGCAGGGGAGGTTGTAGGCAAAGTTTCCATGTTATTTCTATGCCAGTTAGAAGCTTTTCTAGGTCCTTCGCAGTGTTTTGCTTTCGGGAGTTGTATTTCCCTGTGAAATTGTGACGCCACTTGAAAAGTGAGTATTCATTTGTGAACCGAAATGTAATCTTTAAGAACACTTTTATCTAAGAAAGAGAAAACCCACCCGAAGCGTATGTATTCCAAGTCTATGTTTAATGAGAATGTTTATCTTTATGCGGTTAGGAGTGCCCAACTCTTATCACCACTGCCACCACGGCTATCGCGACTACTTTTTGCGGTTAAAATTAAAATTTGTCCAGCTCTGCGTCGACTATAAAAACACTGAAAATGCTTGGACCTGCCACAGTGCTCTCGTAGCCCCACATCGTGTCACATATCCCCATTCGAATCGTTCCTGGTCATAGCTGAAAGATGACAAATACGGATCTGAAAGCCTTGGAGCTGCTGTTTCAGCGTCCTTTGGAGCCGGTGTTTACCACTCGGGACCAGGGCAAGGTGGTGCTCGAGCTGCCCGATAGCTTCTACACGGATCGTTATCGCAACGACACTGTGGCCGTGTCCAATCGCTTCTCGCAGGATGTGGACCTGAAGATACCCGTGCAGGAGTTGGCCAACAAGCCGAATCTGGACTTTGCCAAGAAGTTGGGCAGGAAGAATCAATTTTCGCTGTTCAACGATCGCCACAGGGAGATCGCCAGTCAGCTGATCACCTTGTTCATGGGTGCACCCAATCTGAAGCAGTTTGTGTCCCTGGCAGCCTACACCAAGTGAGTACAGAAGGGAGGATCCTGCTTTAAGGATCACCGAGATAATCGCTCTTTTTGCCGCAGGGATCGCCTGAATCCGGTGCTCTTCCAGTACGCCTATGCCGTGGCCATTGCCCATCGTCCGGATACGCGTGAGGTGCCCATCACGAACATTTCGCAGGTGTTCCCCAGCAACTTTGTGGAGCCGTCCGTCTTCCGGGATGCACGTCAGGAGGCGGCCACAATCGGTGACAGTGGGGAGCGTGTGCACGTGGACATACCGCGCAACTACACGGCCTCGGATCGCGAGTTCGAACAGCGTCTGGCGTACTTCCGCGAGGACATTGGCGTCAACAGCCATCACTGGCACTGGCACTTGGTGTACCCCACCACCGGGCCCACGGAGGTGGTCCGCAAGGATCGTCGCGGCGAGCTCTTCTACTACATGCATCACCAGATCCTGGCCCGCTACAATGTTGAGCGGTTCTGCAACAACTTGAAGCGCGTCCAGCCGCTGAGCAATCTGCGTGTTGAGGTGCCCGAGGGCTACTTCCCCAAGATTCTCTCCAGCGTGAACAATCGCACGTATCCGGCACGTGTGTCCGATCAGCTGCTCAAGGATGTGGATCGCGAGGATGCCGCCATTGAGATTGCCGAGGTGGAGCGCTGGCGCGATCGTGTCTTGGCTGCCATCGATCAGGGCTTTGTCGAAGATGTGAGCTCATCCCCTAAGCTGTTTCCCTTTCCCTTTCCATTTCCGCTAATGCTTAATCCTCTTGTAGCCTTCTGGCACTCGCACACCCTTGGACGATGTGCGGGGCATTGATATTCTGGGCAACATGATCGAGGCGTCGCCGGTGCTGTCCATCAACAGCCAGTTCTATGGCAATCTGCACAACCAGGGCCACACCATCATCTCGTTCGCCCACGATCCCGATGCACGGCACTTGGAGGAATTCGGCGTGATGGGTGATGTGACCACGGCCATGCGGGATCCGATCTTCTACAGGTGGCACGGATTCATTGACACCATTTTCAACAAGTTCAAGGTGCGCCTGGATCCGTACAACGCCGCCCAGCTGGGCTTCGACGGCGTCAGCGTGGACTATGTGGAGGCGAAGATCGGCACGGGCAATGCCAGGCCGAACACTCTGATCACCTACTGGCAAAAGTCGAGTGCGGATCTGGCCGCTGGCCTGGACTTCGGCCCGTCCGCCGATGGCAATATCTTTGCCTCGTTCACCCACTTGCAGAACGCGCCCTTCACCTACACCTTCAACGTGACGAACCGAGGAGCACGCCGCACAGGCACCTGCCGCATCTTCATCTGCCCCAAGGTGGATGAGCGCAACCAGCCGCTGCGACTGGAGGATCAGCGACTGCTGGCCATCGAAATGGATAAGTTTACCGTTGAGCGTGAGTACACCTAACACTCGAACTATCTTTTTTTGCTTATTCCCTGAAATGTATCCTCAGTGCTGCCCGGAGAGAACACTGTGCGCCGCCAGTCCACGGAATCCTCGGTGGCCATTCCCTTCGAGCGCTCGTTCCGGCCCATTGGCGCCGCCTACCAGCCCAAGGCTGCCGATGAGCTGGCCCGCTTCCGCTTCTGCGGCTGCGGCTGGCCACAGCATTTGTTGCTGCCCAAGGGCAATGCCCAGGGCATGCTCTTCGATCTGTTTGTCATGATCTCCGACTACTCGCAGGACTCGGTTGTGCAGCCCAATACGTGAGTGAGATTGCCTTAGGCGGGTTTTCCTCTATTTCAATTTCCATTTCCACCCCTCACCCGATAGACCCAACGATTCGTGCAGCACCGCGTACTCCTTCTGCGGCCTCAAGGACAAGCTGTACCCGGACAGACGCACCATGGGCTTCCCCTTCGACAGGCGCCTGCCCAATGCCAATCTGACTGAGATGGTCGGCGCCTTCCAGAACATGGCCAAGACCGATCTAAAGATTGTCTTCAACGATCGTGTGGTGGACAAGCCCTAAACCATTAATGACCACCGGACCCAACGGAAATGACTTCTCGAACTTTGAACTTTATATAACTCTTTAAATTTGTGCACCATTCGCTGTTGTTTTGTAGGTACTTTGATTTATATATTACAAAATATCCCAACAAATACATCTACATAAATATGTATGCAAACCAAAGAGTTCTAACTGTAATACTGATCGCTTTGAAGCAAAGGGTCCAAAGTCCAATGCATGCTTTGATTCAAAAGACAAAACCGCGACGTACCAAGTGCATACAGACACGCATATTTACATTTGTATGCACAAGTATGAAGAGATTGTGCGAGCAACAAGGGACTCAAAACTAGCCCCCCTACCTGCAAGAAATGGAGCCCAAAAAGAGAAAAGAGAGAGAGAGAGAGCAAACGCATAAGGAGACCATAAGCCTGAACGCAGTTACGAAATTACGTTACAAGACACTAGACACGGCAAACAAAAACAAAATCGATCGGTGCTATGCAAAAAGAGCGGGGAAGAGGGGAAACACAAAAGCAGGCAAACAAAAGATGAAGCGAGAGAGCAATGCACAGCGCTGCAACTGCATACACACATATTTAGAGCTTAGACGATGGGAAGACATGAAAGAAGAGTAGCTGAGCATAGCGCAACATCAGATGCCCTTTCAATTGCCTCGTTTGCTCATCCCACAAATCCACACGAAACTACACTTTGTTGACTTTGGCTTAAGGTCAGAAAAGTTTCTTTCACAAATATTATATTCCACACACCGCTAGTGTATGACAGTGGTTAAATAATATCTAAATTTCATAACATACGCTGTAAGGGTATTTCAAACGCCAACGATCTCTACCCGCTGCATTTCTGCATATAAATAAAGTAATCAAGAAGAGAAGCTCGCACTCAATTTTTTTCTCGCTTTCACTTGTTGGTTCTGCTTGGGTCTACACACTCAAACAAACGCTCGGACACAGCAACACAACGTAGATGATAAATATTTACAGTTATCAGAAATCCGCAGCTAGAAATATTTGCTTGCTTAATATTTGCTTTACATTATTGAATATGGCCTGTGCCAAGGCGATTCCCGGGCCAACAGAAACAGATATGTATAGGGATACACACCCACAAAGGCTGTCCGGCGTTTATTTATCCTACACAGACACGCCCACAAAGTGGGTGAAGCTAATCCTATTAGACTTCAAAGCAGTTTACCCAACAAAACTTTGTCAGGGCCCATGCCCACAGATGTGCCTCGTGGCCCCCCACTCGGACTCGAAGTCGAAGTCGCACTCCCGACTCCAATCCAAACAGAAGGAGATGTGTCCCGATGTGGCTGTGCGGCCAGTGGGCCGGGTAACAGCAATCGGTAAACCGATGCACGTGTGGCGCTTATTAATTTTCGACATTTACCGCGTCGAGCACTTTAATTAGAGCTCCGACGACCCACTCATAGTAAAGGCATAAGAATAAGGAAAAAGTTCTCTATCGCCTGGAATTGGAATTGGAAAAGCCACTGGGAGACAACAGCTGCTGAAAACAAATTGATTTTTAATAGATTTTTATGGTGGGCCTTTGGGAAGAACAGATAATATACTCGGATGTTTCAAGGTTAAAGGTTGGAGAGTACAATTGTATTTTCTTTTATCCGACAGCGGCCATCCGAAACTATTGCAGTTACTAAATAGTTTAATTTGATCCGATATGTTAAATTGTGCTAACATGTGCCACTGCCCATTTACTCAATAAATTAAATTCAAGCAACAAATTATAGAGTTTCTGCTCTTTAAATGAAAAATAAATAAGCTTAAGTTTAAATCGTGAACAATTTGCATCTCTCTGTGTGTTCCATTTTCTTTTTAGAAAAATAAATAAATAAGCTCCATTTTATATTATCTCCCGCGCTGTTTCACTCATTTTAAACCGAGTTCAATGCGCCCATGGAAAAGTTATCCGCAGTGTTGACAGGCCCCCCAAATATGCGAACGACGCGCCGGCCAGTCCACAATTTAATCCCCTTTGTTCCGTTCGCTGGGCGTTTTTATTTCTTTTCAAAGTTGCATATTTTATGGGTACACACTGCAACTGATGTAAACTTTCTGTGAACTCAAATTAAATTTCAGACAAAAAAGTAAATTGTGGTATACCGCCTGATCAGTGTTTACAGATTTCGGGTCTGAGGAAGCGATATTCTGGTACAGAATTCTTCTACAAATCTCAATGGAAACCCCATGGTATCTGAATTAATGTCCAAAAAGGAGTCACAAAAAATTAAATCGCCGCCCAAGGCAGCTCTCCGCCTAGAGGTTTTCCAATGCCCTAGTCAGTCTTCCGTTTTTCCTTTCTTCTCAATTATTAGACCTGGCCAGAGGACATTTCCCACTCACGTTCTGCATTTATTTATGCGCCCAAATTGTAGAAAATTAAAAAGTAGACAAGAAATAGAATAGAAAGTAAAAAGTTGTGCCAAGGAGGAGGGAGAATACTTTAATTTATTTTGCTAGCTGCAGGGCTAGAAAATTCGTGTGTTTTCTTTTGGTAAGGGTAGCCAGAGAGGGTAGTGGGTAGAGAGAGGGGGGGACGTTACCACTTCGGCATAACTTTGACTTTGGCTTTTGGGTCGTTTGCCCCATATGTTGTTGTTATTGCAGGCATTAATGTTGCTTACTTTGGGCCCAGGCGAGGGCTTACTCTGGGCCTTGGGTTTGGGCAAAATGTTTGCTAAGGATTTCTGGCATTATTAGCATACTTTTTGCACTTCTCATGTGTGTACGAATATGTATCTGTGCGCTCCACTTGGTGCAAACAATTTTACATACCATACATAAATATTGTAAATAATTGTGAGTGAGAAACACTGAAGGCAATTATGACAGCAAATCTAGCAGAAGCCAATTGAAAATCCCCCATATTGTCGGTTGAATGCAAAATATCACAAGTCCGCAGTGGCTGTTCGGGATTTGCACCATTGATTACTTAATTTCTGTGAAATTTCTAGCCAAAGCCCGTCCAGAAGCCCATTAAAAAGTCATTCAAACAGAAAAAAATGCATTGAAAAAGGCCTTGCGCCGATGGATTTTGAAAGTGAGATCTGCCAAATGTAATGGCGAAAAACTGGAACATCTCGCACGCCTTGCACGAGATCTGATGGAAACGTATTTTCATGTATGTATATTCCAGTGCCCTTCAAGATTTCCCCCCCGCCGCAGCACATGAAAACATATTGTTGTGAGCTATTTTTGTCGACTGCGCGCGTAAACATTCTCTATGAATCGCGGGTCATAATTATACCGCCTCCCTCCAGTTCCACTGAAATAATCCAACCCCAGTCCCCCCTGTGTCAGTTCAAGCACAAGCCCCCAGGCGTATCAGAAACGAAGCCAGTGAATGACTGAAAGTTATCTATAGAATTACACACAGCTTTCATTCAAGCTTTACATCTACATATGTACTGCACACAGTCTGTGGAAAAAGTGTACCTACCAAAGGCATGAATATTTGTGTGTTTATTTGCATATTTTCAGTGGGAACAAACTTGGCAGACCTACTGTATGCAATATGTTTGCGCGCTCGCATGCATAAAATCCGATATTCGATTTCAACAGGATTCCATGCCAATAATGACTCCATGACGCACTCCATTCCACCAGGGGAATGACAGGCAAATTCAAGTGCTGCTGCGAGTACTTTCAGCAGTCATTGTTGGGCTCTCTAGTCGTAGTCCGCTTCCGATGCTATGCTGTGTCTTGGCTCGGAGCATGCTAATTGTTTGCAATTATGCTTTGAGCGAGCTTCACTTTGTAATGAAAACGAAACGGCATAAAAATGTAAAAGGAATATTGTATAAGCACGCTCCGTGGTGGAGATGGAGGGGGCACGTCAATTGCATTATGGAAATTATGGAAATTCTTGCAGAGAAGAGAGAGCTACCACTTGAAACGGAATTAGGTGAGCCGCAGAGGGTTTGCATTTGATTTAAATGCCATACAATTACGCACCCTATTAGGGTAATTGTTGTATTCATTTAACAGTAAATATGTGATAATTGACAAAAACCACAAAACCACAGTAATATTTCCCGAAAAGCTGTGTAACTCCTGCTGCGACCTATCTATCGGTAGTGACATTTAATTTATTTTTCAACTAAGCGCCAAATAAATGTTCTCTTGTGTGTTGTTAACGTGATTTAATGAGAGCAACAAAATCCTTTTGCGATTATTATTTCAAATGAGCAATGTTGGTGTTTACTTTCCCCTTTTTGTGTGTTTATTTGCCACGCGCCATGCCGACAGACATTTTACCTTTCGACTGTTAAGGCTAATATTTAAATTAATTGATAATAAACCGGGCATCGAATGTTTATGGCCCCACACAGCACAGCTCATCCGACAGTCCGTCATGGCAACTGTGTTAATTTTATAATTTTACCCCCTTGTTTATAGCCTATTGCCGATGACTTGAACAAATGCGAAGCTGAAATCACTTTTTTCTGCTGCTGCCAGCCAGTACGCCATGCTGTCCGTTCCCTTCCCCGCCCCTATGTGTCAGTCCCCTGATGGGTGCCTGTTGGTGTCTCTTCGCTGTACTCGCTTCTCCCCTCCGCCCTGCTGTTCATCTGTTGTCCCTCTACCTGCTTCCAGAGTGCTCTCTTCCTGCGTTTGGAAAAGAGAGCGGGCATTCTTCGCCTCACTTTTATTGCAGCTTTCGCTCTCCCCGCACAGGTATTAACGGGATCAACAGCAGCTGTATTATTTGACCATCCAGCATGAAGCGCGCAGAACTTAATGTTTTATTCACACACACACACACACACATGAGGGAGGGGTTGGTGGAGAGTAAATAAATAAACGCCAGTATTTACTGTGCGAAACAACAACAATAACACACAATCGTACTCGAATTCGTACTCGCAATAATTTAAGCGAAAGAGTGCTGATTTAAAGCTATTAACTGTGATGTCAGAGCGCCATCTGTACACACACTGGGAAAAAGAGATACAAATAAAATATATTTACTGTCAAGCGAACATTTTTCTGAGCATAGAAGAGAATATATAAATATAAATATAAAACTGAAGAGTAATTATTAGGCACCCAATACTGAAGTGTAAGTGAAGTTTGCTTTTAATTCGAATTTCTAATAGTACTCTCGAATCCCTTTTGGCTGCATGCATTCCCCGAATTTGTCTCAAATGCAACTTACTGAAAGCTTTAATTAATATTTAGCACAATTCAAGTTTGTTTAAGCACATTTTCCCTTTCATTACTGCATGGAATATGGAAAAGCTACACCTGGTTTGGCCGGCTTGAATGCTGGCCAAATTGCTGTGGTCTGTGTCCGTGCCGCAGGCACTTTGAGGCATTGTTGCAGACATCACAATGTGCATAGAATTACCGCACACTTCAAGGCAGCGAGAGACAACAATTGTTTTTATTTTTTTACCCCAGTGCGCTTGGGGAAATGCAAAAACAAAACGAGTGGCAGCCCCAGCAGCGGCTGCGTCTGTCCATTATAAAGTTTTTTTGCCAGAAAAAAAATATATTTACCAAGTATACAGTATATTTTATTTTAATCTGTATAGAGTGCAGCTGGCTATCCGAAGAAGAGCAAAGATCACGCCCGAAGGAGCGAAAACTTATTTAATCTAAAGGTGCCAACAGCACTGTATAAATATTTCCGCACACTGATTCTTTTTGTCGACTCAATCGCCTTTTTAAACATTGTTAGAGACAGACACTAAAAAGTAGACACCCTTCAAAAACACTTTAAATTGTTTGGAGGATTCCCAAATCTTTGGATTGTTTTTAAATTAAAGTTGTGTTCCCTATATCTTGCAGCGAACGAAGATGAGCGGTCAGGATGGCTTTATATCGGCGGTTAAGCTGCATATAGGCATACAGCAGCTTAGACATCAGATGACGCAACGACAAAAGGCCATCCAGACGAGTGACATCACTCCACCTGCTGCCAACGAGCCACTGGTGGAGTCTAGTATATCGAGTCTATTGTGCAAATTCGATCGAGCCTTTGCCAAGGAGGCCAAGGCGGCGAGGTTCTGGCGTAAAGTTGATCCTGGGCATGTGCGCCCCAAGAGTGATTTGCACTTTCCCCGCTGCCAGTGCCTGGAGATCTACGGCGATAGCCTGCACAGCCATCGACGACCTGCACGCCAAAACATCTTGCATCCGGAGCAGAATCCCTACGAGAAGGTCTAAGAGGGCACATCGCTGCCGGCGCCAATCGAATCTACTCGGAGCCTATCGTCAAAGCATTGAAGCAAGCAGCTCAAGCCGCACTTAAATTCACAAATTAGCGTCTTAAATTCAACGTTTATCCGCCTTGGCACATCAAAGAACCATGAGAAGACAAACATCGCAAAATCGACAAGACGTGGGCGATCTTTAACTAAGGACAAGTCCTCCCAAGAACAGCAAATAAAATCAAAGAAAATACTGCAGAATAAACGTCTACCGCAAATGCGAAAGCAACTGGAGCTGTACCTGACGACCCTCGACTCCTCGATGACAGGCCTCAGGCTACAACCTACAAAATCGCTGAAGGCTTTGGCCCAACTTTAGGGCGCTTTCCAAGCTTTCCAACCGGTTGGACCAAAGTCCAAGCTAGTTTAAATATCAATTCGTTGCATTCTTTAATTGGAGTAAAATATGTTTCAACTGTTTAAATGTATGCACTTTTCGTGGCATTTTCAATAAACTAAACTAAATATGTTCATTCTGTTCATGTTATATGACCCTTGAACTACTCGCACACAACACACTCGTGGCATATAAAGTTTATTCAAATTAACATTGGCTCGAGAGAACTGTTTTGCTCGCATGCTTTTTTTTCCACCAAATTTATTCCATTCCGAGCAACTGCAGAGCATAATAATGTGCCATAAAGTTACGTTTTTTTTTATGTATGTTTGTATGTACGATTCCCATACGCATAAATGTCAATGCCGCGGCAACTCAAATTCAGCCTGCCTCCCCCACACTTGCTCCACAATCCCTCACAACAATTGAAGTGCAGCACAAATTCATGAAAAACATAAATTTATAACTATAATAAAGCACTAGAAATTGTGTCTCCTGGGGGTGTTCACTACTTTGGTATCCGTTTTTAAAGTACAATTTTGTTATCTTTTCAAAATATGTTTAAAGATTGCCAGCCATGTACAGCCTTTTACATAGGCACATAAGGCATACCGGGTACTACAAAAATTGTCATAAAAAGAGAACAAAAATTGGTTGAGCATTTGATACACACACGATTTTCGAGAGCAATTATGTGCGGGGGTCGTAGTGGTTTCTTCTGGTTTATTAATTTTTATGAAAGTCACTTTAATGCTAATTATATGTAGGCACTGGCACACAACACACACTCCAACTGCACACTCTCTGGCGGATGGAGGGCAGAATGCTGAAAAGTATGCAACGCGGGAATGCAAGCACATCAGCCACAACATCAGTGGAGAGAAGCGGAGAACAGTATGAAGTGAAGCTGTGGCTGTGCGGAGTCCTGCACCGAGCAGGTGTCAAGGTGCGAAATGCTTTGAGTCAGGAGCGTCACCTCCACACCCGGGGGGCGCCAAAACACACACCCGTAAGCAGGCAGCCGAGCAGCTAAAAAGAAAATAAAGCGGGAAGAAAATTCACAAAAAAAAACGTAAATTAAAATGAAAAAATTGCATAAAAAATAACACAGCCGATGCGAAGTTGCTGTGCCCTTGCTGATTATATTTAGTATGCAACCGCAGCAGATCCTGTGATGGGAATTGAAAGGCTATTTGAATGGGGATGGTTTATGAGTTGTGCTAGAGCATTCAAGGCCACGAAATGTTGTAGAAATTACGCCACTTCATTGCGATTCCATTCCTTTACAACAAATGGAATTAAGTGCAGAAAAAACTGATGTGCAGTCTGCTGTGCTTAGCCATTTATCGGTGGCTTCATAATTGACTTTAATTGGTTTATGTTATTAAATCAATTAGTTAAAACTTGTGGAAAATGAAATTGACTCCATCTGCGTTCATCATTCGCGTTTAATTGCATCGCCGAGTGCAACCGAAATTTGATTAAGCAAAAGGAAAAAATAAAATAATTACAATGCGGGGGAAATTGGAAAAGCGTTTAACTGGCGCCAGGGCCAGCAGGGCAGCAGCAGCTGTGGGGCGAGTTAACAAGATTTACAATCAACTAATTAAACTTTTTAGATTAAAACACAAACTTTAGCTGAATCTCGGGCCAAGAGTGGAGTTTTGCTCCGCTCAAAAGTTCACAAGTTTCGAAGACATGCGAAATAAAGCGCCTCGGCATCTGATGGAAAACTAATGGAAATTGCTGCTCGAGTGAGTGCAAGGGATTGCAGAGGAAGGATATACATAAATCAAAAGGCTAACACAAGTTTTTGATGATAACAAATATTTGAAAGGAAGCGAAGCCTGCGGCTTGACTTTGGCAAACATTTTTTTGTTAATTAAGAAATGAGTCTGTTTGTTGAATATATTTTTATGTTTATTAATACATTTTAATAATGAATTCCAAAGCTGGCAACTTCGTGGAATTAAGCAGAGAACTTATCGACAAATTCCCAGTAGCAAGAAAATTCAACTGAATTCTCATCAAGAAATATCGATGTGGCTGCACATGTGTACCGAACAAACACACACCCACACGTAGAGCATATAAAAAACTGAAGCAAGCCGCCATCAATCATACGCAGCGTGAGCCACCGTTGTCGTTGTTTGGTGGCCCAGGCATGATAAACATGCCGCCGCCGTTGCTGCTGCTGCTGTCAAAAGTAATCCAAAAACCTTTGAAATGTAAATCAGGCGAAATTTCCTCAACATAAATCCGAATCAACATGCAAGGGCACACCAATACAAACGCACACGCACACGCACACGCACACACTCGCACTCGCACTCGCACTCGCACTCGCACTCACCTTTTGTTCTGGAAAGAGGCGGACAGGCTTGTTGCCTGTTGTTCCTGCTGTGTGGCGCCTGTCGTTTACCGTTGATTCCTGTCGACTGTTGCCCGCTTGTTGCTTGTTGCTTGTTGCTTGCTGCCTTGCTCTATGCGAAACGAACTGCTGCCGCGCCTCTTGCTGTGATTGTGATTGTGGTTGTGGTTGTCGCCCAATTGAATCAATTCAACAGCAATTTGCGGAAAATTCAAATGAAACGAAAGGGCGAAAAACAACACGAAAAAGAGTGAGAAATGCGAAATGCGTGACATTTCCTTGTGGATTCAACTTGAACTGCGTGCTGCGAGCTGCAAGTCTTTTTCTATAGCCACGACACATTCGCAATCCGCCAGTGTGTACATTTGTACGTGTGTTGGGGCTCACATATGGTAATTTACATATGGGATTTACAGCGCTTGTTGCACGCTGCTTAAACGAAAGGACAGAGATAGAGTCAGAGACAGAGACAGAGACAGAGGCAGGGTCAGGGTCGGGTCGTAGGGAAATGGGACTGGCATTGACATTGGTCTCTGTTTTCGGCGAATTGCCAATGGACAGATTATAATCGTATTTTTCAATCTGCAGTCGCATTCCGATTGAATTAGCCGAGATTTTTCATTCCCGGGTTTCCCTGCTCCCGTTTTATGTGTGTGTTTTCGGTACGTTTTGGTTGCTTTTTGAATTTATGATTTAACGCACAGTTTTTGAAGTTTTTTTTTTTGGCACAGATGCGAAACATTTTTTGTAGGTTTTATGTGCGAACGTGTGCCAAAAAAAATGTGATAAAATACGAGTACATATGTATTTATGTGTGTATACATATGTATACATTAATAATTTATGTTTTTCGTTATTTCCATTTCGATTCTGAGTTAGATTTTGCACTTTGAATCCTTTAAGTTCGTTGTGGCAACATTGTTGCTGCAACTTGTCTGCTTTCTCTTGCACTTGAACTAGTTTTTCCAGTCAGCAATTTTCCGCCCTTGCCAACCCAACACCCCACGCCCCGCACACGCACTGATAACGGTATCACTTGGATGGTTTTTTTTTTTTTTTTTCATTCTCTCGAATGCTCGGGGATGCTCCGTTCTACCTTATGCCACGTCCGCCTTTGGAAGCCACTCAACAGCAACTGTTGCAACTGTCGAAAAGGCAACTTGTGGCTGCCTCTGCCTGCTGCCTGCTGCCTGATGCTTCTCCACAGCATCTTTGGCGGAGCTTTTGGCAAAGCTTTGCGCCGCCATCCAGCCAAACTTTCTCCCAGCCGTACAGCAAACTGTTGATTTTTGCATGTGTGCGTGTGCTCGGGCGCTGCCAGGAAGAGAGCAAACCAAATAGAGAGAGCGCCAACTTCCCTAGCGGTTAATTAAGCTCCATTGATGTTTGGCTTAAGAACAGCAATTAACGGCTTGTTATTGAAATATGTATTAAAAAAAAACAAACAGGAAATACTTTAATTTTGCAGCTAAAAATATGCAAAAAAAACGTAAAATATTTACCATTAATAAATATTGTGTACTTTAACCCCATTGCATCTCGTATTATTTATAGAACAACTAAACAATTAACAATTCAATTATATTCACGACAAGCCACACTGCGGCATGCATGCCACGAGGCAGCTTACCAAAAGCAACAGTTACCAATGCTAACGGTGCACACGGGCTCACCGTGGGGAAAGCTTCCCCTACTTTTAGAAAAGGCCACAAATAGACCGGGCAGCACTTCGTGAACAAAGAAGCTTTTAGTAGATTAGTCTTTATGGCATTGCAGATGCAACCAGCGATGGTGCAACCGAAGAATGCTGGCACAAGGCGCCTCCCCTCTCAAACCAAAGTCCCGCTCCCCCGGCGGTCAATAGCCAGCCACAAACGGAGCGAGGCCACGCGCGTTTGCTGGACTAATTGGTACGCAGCAGCAAAGGATCTTCTTACTGGCATGGCCTACAGGCAGCCATTACCCGGAAACAACAATTATGCGAGTGCAACAGTTATGGGAGTGTCTTTATGCCGCAGACTTCGCCAAATGGGGCGACAATGGGCGTTTGTGACGTTTCTGACTTAACAATGGACGAATGAAATTAAAGGATTCCCCTGAAATGGCTAGCTGCAGTTGATGGCCTTGTCTGTAGCTGATTATGTGCAATACCTGTACATCCTGTACTTTCCATGGCCAATAGAAAAAGTGGACTCATCCAGTGCAGAGGTAATCCTATCACCACTAACCCTGGGGCCTGTCCTCTGCACGCGCCACTGATTATTGCGCATAAAACGCTGGGGGCTCTATTTGCGCACCGGCCAATCCGGATCTGCTGCTAATCACTTGCGTCCTTCGAATTCTGGTAATATGAAGGCAGCAAAGCAACAGCGCCGCCATTCATGGTTTCCTTTTTCCACATTTAAATTGTTGTTGTCGTACCAGAGCTCAAAGCTACGCAATCAAATTTAAGTGCGGCAAACATAAGTCTGGTTATTACGAAACTTTGAGTTTGGATTTTCAAATAGCGCGCTAAGATAACATACCGATAGGCAGAAAATACCACAAAATGGGCATACTGCAGCGAGTGTTGGCAAGTTCCGTGGTCAACCATCTGACCGCTATCGATAGGGCACATTCGATAGGCGGAGCAACAGTTGGGAATGCACGGTCACATTAAACCAAGCGAAATGTGTTTACACAATTTCTTTGCTGTTTTTTTGTTTTAAACCCTTTTTCTGCAACAACGCAACCATAAAGTTTTACGCTAATTGCATTTGTTACCGCCCAGATTACAGAGGTGAGTAACCGACAGCGCATCAGCCGTTCCATCAAGCGCTTAGCCGAGTCTTTGTTTTCATGGCGCATCAGCTGTGTTGGAGCAACAAATAACTTAGCACAGTGGCCGTATCAACTAAACATGAGATATACTACGTACTCGAAGCTTTATCAGCGTTTATTCGACCACTTTGTAGCCCCACACTCACGCATCGAATCAGTTATTTGCTTGAGGCGCGCGCGTGTGGCGGTGTTTGACTCTTGACACTCCCCCGGAACGAATTAATCCATAAGCGGACTCTCATTTCAGCAGAAGCAGTAAAGATGCGCCCGTTTTCCGGCAGTGATTGCTTGAAGCCCGTCACCGAGGGCATTAATCGCGCCTTCGGTGCAAGGGAACCCTGGCAGGTGGCCACCATCACAGCCACCACAGTGCTCGGCGGGGTTTGGCTCTGGACGTTTGTGTGTCAGGATGAAAGTGAGTTAACAGCAAGAGAGGAAAGTAGTCTCTGCAGCACTATCTACAAGTCAGCAAAAGTCAGGCCACTCTGTCGATTCCTTTTACGCCCGTTGTCGTCGTCATAAATTATAATCCATCAAACAATCTTATCTGTCGCGGCGTGCACCAAAATAGGGGCCCTAGAGCCTAGAGGCCCATTTTGTATAGTTTGAGTGAAGAAAACGAAATTGTTGTTAAATTTTGCTATGCATGTACTTTGTGCCTTATATAAGGTTCAGTCGAGTGGCATGCACCCGTTGAATGCCCTCCCTGAACTTTTGGCGTTTAATCTGGCCACAGATTACAATAGATTAGAGCTCCCGACTGAACATTCAACAAGTTGGCTACTTGAATGGCATAGCTACTGGCATCGATAAGGATATACGCCAAGCAAATACTTGGGAAATATAAAAGCTTTCAATGGGTTGGCCCGTTCAAGGAGATTTTTAATGACTAGTCGGCAGGGTGGAAAGCCTCCACAAGTAGCACCCAAAACCCGGTCAAAGTATCTTTCTTTGCCCCACCTTTGCCCCAGATATGTGTACATATCTACATGTAATCCAGACATGTCCGGCTCTCATGATATGCTATCGTGTTTCAGAGACTACCGACCGACGACACATTCTCATTATAAAATGATTCATCACTTTACGGTTTTACGGTTCGATACGCCTTTAGATAAGCATGCATTAGGTTATTCGATGTGAAACTATTGAAATTAGCTGGTCAGGCGATGCTTACACCATTCCTTTGCTTGTTGCAGGTCTCTACACGCGTGGCAAGCGGCAGTTCTTTAGATTCGCCAAGAAGATACCCGCCGTGCGGCGACAGGTGGAGGTGGAGCTGACCAAGGCCAACAATGACTTTGAGACGGCCATCAAGACGAGCAACGCGCACCTCACCTACACGGTGACACTGCCCGAGAAGGGACTGAGCAAGGAGGTCATCCTGAAGCTGGTGGACGATCATCTAAAGACTGGCCACTACGAGTGGCGCGACGGTCGCGTCTCGGGTGCCGTCTACGGCTACAACCCGGAGCTGGTGCAGCTCGTCACGGAGGTGTATGGCAAGGCCTCCTACACGAACCCGCTCCATGCGGACCTCTTCCCGGGCGTCTGCAAAATGGAGGCTGAGGTGGTGCGCATGGCCTGCAATCTGTTCCATGGCAGCAACGACAGCTGCGGCACCATGACCACCGGCGGCACCGAGTCCATTGTGATGGCCATGAAGGCATACAGGGACTACGCACGCGAGCACAAGGGCATCACCAGGCCGAACATTGTGGTGCCACGCACGGTGCACGCAGCCTTCGACAAGGGTGGACAATACTTCAACATTCATGTGCGATCCGTGGATGTCGATCCGCAGACGTTTGAGGTGGACATGAAGAAGTTCAAGCGTGCCATCAATAGGAACACCATTCTGGTGAGGATGTGCCACACGATTTCCCCAATGTATCGCCGCTAATTGTATCCTCTAATCACCCTCCTACCTCCAGCTTGTTGGCTCTGCTCCCAATTTCCCCTACGGCACCATCGATGATATCGAGGCTATTGCCGAATTGGGCGTAAAGTACGACATTCCCGTCCACGTGGATGCCTGTTTGGGCAGCTTTGTGGTGGCTCTGGTCCGCAATGCCGGCTACAAGCTGCGTCCCTTTGACTTTGAGGTCAAGGGCGTCACCAGCATCTCTGCGGACACCCACAAGTACGGATTTGCGCCCAAGGGATCGTCGGTGATCCTCTACTCGCAGAAGAAGTTCAAGGATCATCAGTTCACAGTGACCACCGACTGGCCCGGCGGCGTCTATGGCTCACCCACCGTGAATGGCTCACGTGCCGGTGGCATTATCGCCGCCTGCTGGGCCACCATGATGAGCTTCGGCTAC